AACCGTTTTTTTATTGCCAATATCCGACTATGCAAAGTCCAGATTTCCTTTAAATGGCACAGATCCCTGTTTTGAGGGTGAGCCAAGCCATCTAGAGTTGTTTTCAGTATCAAAGTCATAAATCACATCACTGATACTCTCACAGTTAATGCGTGCTATGTTCATCGGGCCCTGGGTGAAGTGAGCTTTACTGGACAGGGTCTGTTGTTATCATCCGCTGGCGAACACTTGGACCCCAGCCTCTTGGAGCCGTCATACTGCAAGACCAAACCGATAGATACTTTCTTGCCTGAAAGGATTGGATAAAAGATCTAGGTGCACAGCGTGTCTTCCAGATTCCCTTTGTAGGTAAGTATGGTTGGGTAGGAGGGATGTTATTTTGTCAGGCCAGATGCCTCCAGCATGAAATTTGATTCCATCCCATTTCTGTCGGCAGTTTTATCCTCCATCGCTGTTCCTGTCCTCCTCCCGGAAGTCCGTCCACGGTGCCCCAGCTCACTTACCTGTCTTCGTTACTCCTCTCCCTCCGGAGCCCAAGCAACAGTGTTGAACACTGTTACATGACGACCCCTTCAAAAAACCCAATGGCTTGAAACAATAACCAGTTATTTTTCTCACAGTCTGTGGGTGGGCTGGGTGATTTGATTGGGCCAAACTCGGCTGATCTTGGCTGGGCTCACTCAGGAATCTGTGCCTGGCTGGGCCTAGGTGACCTGGGATGGCCTTAGCTGAGCTGATCCAGCTCCATTCCATGCCATGTGGTCTCTCATCTTCCAGCATTCTAGCCTAGGCTTGTCATGGCAGAGGCAGAGGCCCCCCCCCCCGCCAAAAAAAACACCACCACCACCAACAAACCAGCCAGCAGAGGCTGCATCACCTCTTGGGATCTAGACTCGCACATGCATGCTAGTCACTTCTGTTGCGTGTCACAGGCAAGTCCAGATTCAGTGGGTGGAGAAATAGACTCCACCTCTTAACGAGGAGGACCCGGGAAGTCCCACTGAAAATGCGGTAGATCCAGGGAGGGGTAGAGAATATGGCCATTTTTGTAATCCGTCCACTGCATGGATCAGGGATCAGCAAATGTTCTCTGTAAATGGTCAAAATAGTAAACATTTCAGGCTTTGGGGGCCATATAGTCTTTGTTATAACTCCTCAACTCTGCTCTTGTAATGTGAAAAGCAGCCATAGACAATAATATATAAATGCCTGGGCATGGCTGTATTCCACTAAAACTTTATTTTCAAAACCAGGCAGCAGGCCAGATTTGGCCCACAAGCTGCAGTTTGCTGAGCCCTGACCTGGACAATCCAGACCAAGTAGGGATCTCCGATCCAGGTTCTAGGATGTTGTCCTTCCTGGAACCAAGGCCTTGAGGCCAGAAGCATGGGTGTCATCTGTCAGCAGAAGTGCTCTTATTGAAGAAATAAAAACAGACTGAGAGGAGCAAGGGCTCCTTGCTAAGGTACAAATGACTATTTGTATCCATTTGGGGTTGTTCCTTGTTCCATGATGAACTTATATAGGTTAAGTTTATTTCTCAGCAAGTCCTTGGAGTTCACTCCTTGTCACTCCCATGTTTGGCTGGATTCTCATTCCTTAGCCATCCACATCTCCCAAACGGATTCCGGATAGAATTCTTTCCTTTTTTCTTTTTCTTTCTTTTAAGATTTTATTTATTTATTTGACAGAGAGAGACACAGCGAGAGAGGGAACACAAGCAGGGGGAGTGGGAGAGGGAGAAGCAGGCTTCCCGCCGAGCGGGGACCCCAATGCGGGGCTCGATCCCAGGACCGTGGGATCATGACCCGAGCCGAAGGCAGACGCTTAACGACTGAGCCACCAGGCGCCCCTCTTTCCATTTTTCTAACCTGGATGCCCTCTTCTTACACTTCTCCCAGGAGGGTCCAGGCGTCAAGAAGTGACCTCAGCACCTCCTTCTGGGCTCCCAGGGAAGCCCCTGATTAGATCTACAAATTAGATCTTGTTTATTTTCCTTTACCAATTATGTGTCTAATTGTCACGACCATGACATGCTCCATCAAAATTCAAAGATGTTAACTGTTCCCGAGAGTGACTTTTTGATTCAACCATTATTTCCTGGAGTTGTTGCTTGACTAGAGATTTGGTTAAATTTCAGGTAACGTGAACTCCCTTTTCATAGAATGCCCAAGTCTATGCTGTTCTTCTATCTGCTGGCTTGGTTTTTCTCACGAGGGCTGCCCTTTGTGGGTCAACAGTCAGCTCCCTTATTTTTCCCATCAGGGATTTTCTGTACCACATATAATACAAAACTATTACCACCTTGTTTTTGTAGAAATGAGAACGAAATCTTTGCTTTCTAATTTTACTCCTTCCCCTTTATTATTGGTTGCTACTGACTTATGCAACATGATTCTTCCCTGGGTACTCATCAACAGGTGTAGTTTTCAGCTTGGCATGGCTCAAACCTCAAACTTTTAAAGTTTTAAAGCAGCCGAGTTGCACAGACGGTCAATAAATCACTCACTATCGCCACTTTATTGCTTGTAAGGTGATTACCCCGCTTTGCCCATAGCGACTTTTCAATTTGATTAAAATGCAGTTTCATCAGGTCGTGGTTGAGTCCTCCAGATATAAAAATACATAAAGCAATGAGAGAAGCCTATGCTCAAATATTTTTATAACTACCCTTCACCTCTTTAACCATCTACTCCAGCACTTTTGTGGTCCTCGTCCTATAATTCAAATTTCCATGCTCTTTGCCAAAGTAATTTTTATTTAGTGCTTATTCCAACCTCTTGTCTTTGTGAGAGTGTATTATTTTTTTTTCTGCTAACTGGTGGGGAGCATTGGTCCTGCTGCAAAGCATTTTCTTCATCTCAAATTAGCTCCTATGTGATCTGTAAATCAGGCTCTGGTGGTGGTATAACATGGAAGGTGTCTTGGTTTATTTGCGGTTGTTTTCCAGACCCAGGGAGCCAGGAGAGTGGGAGTGGAATTGTTATCTTAGGCAGGAAAAGGAGAAACTCTCAGCTTGGCTACTGTCCTGGCAGCAGGAGCCCTTTTGACTGTATTTTAAGAAAAATTAAAAGTGAGCGCCTGTATCCACGGCTCCCTTGCCCAGGGCGGTGTGCTGCTAGCCGGGCATGGCTCTTGGCTTGTCTTAGTCTGTTTGCGCTGCTATGATCAAATCCCGCAGACTGGGGGGCTTCTACACAATAGACATTCATTTCTCACAGTTCTGGAGGCTGGAAGTCTGACACCGGGGCGGGGGGAGGGCAGCACGGTTGGGTGGGGGCCCTCTTCTCCGTCAGAGACTTCTCGTTGTGTCCTCACACGATGGAAGGGGTGAGGAAGCTCTCTGGGGTCTCTTTTATAAGGACACCTAATCCCATTCCTGAGGGCTTTTTGACCTAGTCACCTCCCAAAGGCCCCACTTCCTAACATCATCACACAGGGGGATGGGATTTCAACATACGAGTTTCTGGGGCGCACACACATTCAGACCATAGCACGGGTCATGTGGTAGGTTGTCGTCTTGCCTTGTCCATCTCCAGGGCCCCCCCCTCCCCGCCTCCACCCTGCAGCCCCTACACAGGGCCGCTGCCCTCTGCGGATTGTCTTGGCTTCCACCAGTGGGTTAATGCCTGGCCAGCATTTCACTCTGCTCTAGCTGTAGGGTTTGAATATCCTCAGTGATGACACGTAGGCCGCCTGCCTGAGTGGTGCACGTTATCTCACAAGAGAACCAGTTATTGGTTCAGTTGCAGTGATTAGATTTGGAGTGGTAGGCCTCGACCCTGTTTGCCCCTCTGGCCCTCTCGTTTTGATGCCTTGCTTTTGCAGAACTTGAGGTTTTTCAGAAATTTGTGTGGTCGATCTTACTTTGCGGTTCTGCATTTGTGCATTTGTCTACTCACTAAAACGTACTCGTAACCCCAAATTGATACATGCGGTACTCTCCCGGTTAGTCACAGACATGTGCGTGTGCGGAGTGGCAAAAAGTCTGAGTCGCCTGAAAGGCACCCTCCTGGCTCCGCCATCTTACTTCAGCTCTCCGCCTATAAGCAAGTGTCCTTTGTACAGATTGTTTAGCGCCATGTTTTTCACATTTTTGTGCCTTTTTTTTTTTTTTATTGGTAATTTGCTGTTTGTCGTGGGCCCAAAATGCAGGGCTGGAGCGCCCCTGGTGTTCCCACGCGCAAGAAGGCTGCAGTGCGCCTTGTAGAGAGAAGCCGTTGGGCAGATAAGCTTCATTTGGGGATGAGTTGCAGCGCTGCGGCCGTGACTTCAGTGGAAATGAATCAGCAGTATATATTCAAGAAGATGTCTTAAAACAGAACCACAAAAAAGCAGGGTTGTATATTGCCTGGCTTACAAAAACGTGATCAGAGGCTTGTAGGAACCCAGCCCTGCGTATCACTTAGGGACATTGCTTCGGTAGCCACTAATTCGGTGTTCATGGGGACTTTATAGAATGGGACGGCTGCAAATAACAAAACTTGACTGTGCTACAGACCGAAGGTTGGTGTCTCCCCAAAATTCACGTGTTGGAACCTAAGCCTCGGCGGGGTGGTGGTTAGGAGGTGCGGCCCTTGGGCTGTGATCAGGCCATGAGAGCTGAGCCCTCATCAGTGGGATTAGTGTCCTTATAAAAGAGACCGTGGAGAGCTCCACTGTTGTTCCCGGTATGTGACGACACCGTGAAGAGATGGCTGCCCATGAACCAGGATGGGGGTCTTCACCGGACTCCGACCCTGCAGCGCCTTGATCTTGGACTTCCAGTTTCCAGGACTGTGAGAAACGCATTTTCGTTGTTTCTGAGCCGCCCAGTGTACGGTACTCTGTCAGAACAGCCTGAAAGGACTAAGACGGGCTGTATCTATATTTCGTTACAGCAGAGGTACCTGTGCGGGAGCAATTCTTTCTTGCATAAGAAAGTACTACATGTGGCTTGTTCTGCCGTGTCTCTGCAGATATCCTGAGTGATGGTTTTCATCCCAGGCTTTCTCTCCCAGGTGTAACTAGCATGGTCAATGCAGGAGCGATGAGCGGCTCTGGAAACCTGATGGATTTCCTCGATGAGCCATTCCCTGATGTGGGGACGTATGAGGACTTCCACACCATCGACTGGCTGCGGGAAAAGTCCCGGGACACCGACAGACACAGGAAGGTAGGTGGCATTCATAAAGACATGTCGAAGGGGCTCCCTTCAGGTGGCTGGGCCGTGCTTTGGTGGGGCAGTTGCTGAGGTAGGGTTAGGTCACATGTCACCTACTGGGCGGGATTCTGAAGGAGAGAAGGGCTAGCGAGAGAGGCAGAGATGGGGACAGGTAATAACGAGATTACGTGCGTTGGGTGGGAGGCTGCGTCATACGGAGGAATGGTGTGGAGGGCGATGAGGGGACTCCAGAAGCAGACAAATCAGGTACATCCTGCCCTTGATGCCTTTAGGCTGGGTGACTTTTGGGGCGCCATTTCTAGACCCCGGTTTCTCCTCTATAAGGGTGGAGGCCATTATATCTAAAGATTGAGTGAGTTGAGTTGCCTGGGTATGGAAGCACATACCACAGTGCCTGGCAGCTAGTTGGCGATCAATCTCTATTTTAGTGGCCACCATAAAGTTCGGTAGAAGTGCTGTGGGATCATTCAGGAGGGATGGTTAGGGAAGGGTTTTTTAGAGACGGTGACATTTCAGTTGGGCCTTGAAGGTTGACTAGGAGTTTGCTAGGCGGAGAAAGGGGAAAAGATTCTAAAAATCAAGAGGGGCCCTTTTTTAAGTCACCGAGGCATGAGAGAACACTGCACAGTTGGTGGTTCGGGAGCTCTCTGGCCCGGGGGCAGGCTCACAGGACGGGAGCACACGGGCAGGGGCCACCCCGGGAATGACCAAGTGGGCCATGAAGGTGGGTTTGGGTTTCATCTTCATGGTCACAGAATACAAGGAAAATGCATTGCAGAGAGAGAAACAGGAAGCTTGGAAATCAGGAGAGAAGAGGAAGAAGGTCTGACGGAAGGCAGCGAAGTGCAGGTGGAGAGAGGCTCAGGGTCAAGAGGTATTCAGAGGAGCCCCTGACAGGATTTGGGGTGGGGTATGGGGGTAGGCAGGGAGTGGAGTCCAGGATGAGGCCCGGGCCGCGGTTAGAAGGGGGTGATGCCCTTGTTGGCAAGAAGGAAGGAAAGGGGAACAACAGATGTGAGGGGGAGGCCGGTGAGTTCTGTCTCAGCCACTTTGGCTTCGAGCTGTTTACCCAGCCTGCGGCTGGGGGTGGTTGGCAGGCGGCGAGGACTCTGTAGTTCGAGGGTGCGGTCAGGGCTGCGGTGCCGAAGGAGGAGGCCCCGGCATGTGAGTGGGCGCCGAAGCTTTAGAAGTGGCCCAGGTGGCCTGGGTGTGCACGGAGAGGGAGCGGTAAGGAGGGGGGTGGAACTCCGGGCCCTGCCGAGATTTAGCAGGTGCAGTGGGAGGTCGGCGGGGCGCCTGTGACGGACAGCTGGGAGAGGCGGGGAGAGGTGAAGGAGGGCAGCCGGCAAAGTGGTCGCGAGCAAGAGGAGGCGAGGGTGGTGAGGCCGGGGCGGCCAGCCAGGTCACTGTCCGTGGAGAGGTAAAGTAGGAGGCAGCCCTGCAGCCTGGGCACTGTCGGCGGCCGCGGGGAGAGCACCTTCCGAGCGGGACGGGGAGTGACGTCTGGGGCGCCGCTGGGTCCCATCATTTCCCGCAAGTTGGCAGGAGTGGGGTAGGGAGTCCGGAAGAAGGGCCAGCCTCCTGGCTCCGGTGTGGAGGACAGTGGCAGAGGGGGCAGCCTCCGGCCCAGAGCGGAGCTTGCTGGACTCCGACCCACGAGCGCAGTCCGGCCTGGCACCTGCTCTGGTGAGGACAGTTTCCGTGGAACACAGCCGTGCGCGTTCACATGCACAGTCCCCATGGCTCCTTCTGTGCCCCCGTAGCGGAGCCGAGCAGTTGTGACAGAGGCCGGCTGACCCGCAGAGTCGGAAATCTTTCCAGAAAATGCTCTAAGGAGCTCAGGGAGGAATGGCGTCGGAACAGTGTGTTCAGACGCGTTCATCCGCCTGCCGAAGGTGACCCGGGCTAGCCCGTTCAGAGGTCTTGCTGCCAACCTTTGACCTTGAAAACAAAAGAAGGAAATGAACTCTGTTGAAGAGCTGCTTCTGTGAGCAGGCTGTAAGGTGAGGGTTAAAGTGGTAATTCTCATTTAAAATGGTGACGACGAATGGCTATCTCCCTTCAGAATGGCTTCTGAATCCTCAAAGTTCAAATCACACTTAGGAAGTCTTTTTTAATTAAGTGAATTTTGGGGGGATTCTAAGTCTTTGGTGGCTACGATGCCGTCTCTGCAACTGCGTGAACCCGAAAGCCCGTTTTGCCATCGCACCAGTAGTGGGTAAGGTGACGAAAGTGGCAATTTAGTCGCTTAATTACATTTGTTTTCTCACTCACCCCATTTCCCGGAGGAAACTGTTTCAGGGAAGGAAGCGTGAATTGGAAAATGTATCCCGAATCAACTACTGTGTCTCTGTTTCTAGATAACCAGCAAAAGCAAGGAGTCCATATGGGAGTTCATCAAGAGTTTGCTGGATGCCTGGTCAGGCTGGGTGGTGATGCTGCTCATCGGCCTGCTGGCGGGTACGTGGAGGGGCCGGGGCTGGAGGTGCCGCCGAGCCCCAGAGCACCAACTCTTCCTGTTCAGGCTGGTGTTCTGAGAATGGACTGATTCTCTTTTACCCCCGTGCAAGCGATTTCTTACTTGAGATGCCTCAGAGCAAACTACACGACCATACACTTAACCTAAAGCGTATCATCAATAAGGCAAGACCCCAAGGCATGGGCCCAAATGCGGTCATTGGAAAAAAGCTGTAATTAGAGGGCCGTGTCTGCACAGCACCCAGGTTTATGGCCATACTGGATTTTATCGAAAGCACATAGTTTGCATTCTGTAGTACTGGGTTACGTAGAAGGCAAGCAAGTATGGGAACATTTTGATCTCTAATAATAAAGCGCCATTTGAGAGTGGTCTTTACCAATACTGGCGGGCCCTGGAGTGAATCGTACACATCCTAGGATACTCAGAATATTCCGAGACACCCGTAGGGCCTGAGGTAGGCCCAGGGCAAATATGTCCAGCCCGTGCGTTGTTCTGACCCTCAGGGACTCTGCATCCTCCATTTTTGTAATCCCAGCATCATGCTTGCAAGTAGTCGATGTTTTCCAGAGTGAATGGAGGCGTATCTGGAGGGGAAACCTGCCCTTCTAATATCAAATGTACCAGCTCTCCATGGAAATTCTGTCCTGAGACGTTATTTCCTTTTAGGAGGCTCTGAAGGTTAATGTCTAAGATTGAAAAACATCTGAGCACACTAACAGCAATTCCCTTAATAAAAATCACCTACCTGTAGTAACATAATAGTTGCGGTTATAGGATTGATCAGCAAATGACTGTCATAAAGGCAGAATATAGGAAATGCTGTAAGAAAGACAGAATACTAACGGGGCATAGATAGAAATTGTGTGACTACAGAGGGTTTGGATTTCTGGGCATTCCTTCCTTTATCCCGTACACAGTCGTGGGAGGGGCTTGGTTGCCAGGGAGGGCAGCCGGTGCTGAAGGGGGGATCCTTTTCCTCTACTCACGGTGGCTGTCCTCGCATGTCCCCAAGTTTAGCCTTCTGTTCCCAGGGGCAGCCCGGGTATAGACCAGCAGCAGTGTTGGCAGGGAATCCGATTTCATGCCTATACGGTGTTTTGCCACGGATTTGTTTGACTGCTTCCACCAACACCTTTGTAAGTGGGCAGGGGAGGAATTTTCTGTGAATTTTGATGTCTTTATTTAGAATAGATTTAAGAAACTCTATACCGTATCATTATTCTTGGCTTCTAGGCAGGAGAAGTAAAGAGAAGGAATGCAGAAATCTGGAATAGATGTTCTAGCGTCTCGCCAGAGCAGACAGCACAGCATGGATTTATTGACCTACGGAAGAGCCGGACTGGGCTCTCTTGAACAAATCTGGTATTGACCAGTTGGTTTCCTTGTCAACCCAATTTCCTCCAGTTCTTTCAGGAAGAATCACCTGGGGAATGGAAGCAAAAAATTTGGCTGCCTGGGCTTCAAGTCAGTAGTATCCCTGGAGATGGTGCCCTAGCGTTGGGTAAAGCCCCCCTCCTTTCTCCCAGCCCCCTCCACCTCTGATCCTACTGCGCAGCCAGGGTGGAGCACCCCCGCCGAAGGGTGCTCTGTGGACCCCCCCCCCAGACGAATTCAGCAGGAAGGTGAGAAGGGGGATGACGCTGGCAGTGAAGGTGGCTAAAGTGTGCTGGCTAAAGCCAGCAAATTGTGTCCCCTTCACTTTTCTCTTCCCCAGTTGTTCTCACAGCGCGGGAGGACTCAGGGGGTCCCCCTGCCTGGCCAGTCCTCTCTCCTCAGCGGCACCCTGGACATTATATTTTGACTCCCATGATGGAGAGGCCCAAGCGGCGGCTCCTCTGCGGGGCGCTTATCGGGAGTTCCCACTGGGTGTCGCTGTTGTTCCACCGACCGAAGCCGAGCCGCGCGGCGCTGTCAGGCAAGTCAGCCCAGAAGACCGGGTGAGGGATGAGCTGATTGCAAACGAAATCCGGGATGATCATTGGGTCTCGCCCTTGGATATCTACAGGACCCCACCCTCGCCTTCTTTAGGTCTTTGTTTTTTTTGTTTTTAAAGATTTTATTTATTTATTTGAGAGAGAGAGAATGAGAGAGAGCATGAGGTGGGGGAGGGTCAGAGAGAGAAGCAGACTCCCCGCCGAGCAGGGAGCCCGATGTGGGACTCGATCCCAGGACTCCAGGATCATGACCCGAGCCGAAGGCAGTTGCCCAACCAACTGAGCCACCCAGGCGCCCCTTCTTTAGGTCTTTGTTCAAATGTCTTACAACACTTGAGGCATTCCCTGACCACCTTTTCTAAAAGTCACCTCTCCCTCTCGCAGCCTCATCCCCCTCGCCCCAGTGTGTGTGTGTGTGTGTGTGTGTGTGTGTGTGTGTGTGTGTAAAAGCTTTATTAAGATATAATTCACATTCCATACAGTTCACCTTGTCAAAGCATACAGTGCTGCGGTTTCTAGCATATTCAGAGTTGTAAAACCATCACCACACTCCATCTTAGAACATTCTTGTCAGCCCCCAGAGGACCTCCATACCCCTGAGCTATCAAGCCCTGCTGCCCCCAGCCGCCTCCCAGCCCCAGGAAGCCGCTCATCGAACTCTGTGTCTCTGCATATTTGCCTATTCTGGATATTTTGTATAAGTGGAATCCTACAGTATGTAGTCTTGTGGTTAGCTTTCTTCACTCGGCGTCCTGTTTCTGGGGTTCGTCCTGGAGCAGGCATCAGTGCTCTGTTCTTTTTTGTTGTCAAATACTATTCCATTGTGTGGCTGGACCGCATTTGATTTCTCTGTTCAGCAAGATGGGCCTATGGGCTGTTTCCACTTTTTGGCTACTGTGAATAGTGCTGCCGTGAGCATTCGTGTGCAAGTCTTCGCATAGGCGTATGTTTTCACGTCTCTCGGAGTGGAATTGCTGGGTCAGATGGCAACTCTGTGGTTAACTGTTTGAGGGACTGCCAGGCTGTTTTCCAAAGGGGCTGCACCTTGGTCACATGCTGTAATTTGCTCCCTAGCACTTAACTGTCTTCTCACAGAGCCCTGATTTACTTATGTTGTCCCGTGTCCTGTTCCCCTCCCCCCCGCCCCCGCCGATGTGCCTGTCCATGAAGACTGGGAGCTGAGTCTGCTTTGTTCCCTGCCATATCCCCGGGGCGTGGAACAGGGACTAGCACATAGGAACTCGGTGCTTAGTAACTACCCCTTGAGTAAATGGATGGACCTGGGTTTTCTGATTTTCATTCATTTATGGATTTATGGATATAAAGTTCCTGCCACGTACCCAACACAGACACAACAGTGGACAAGGCAGGTGGCCCTTGCCCACTTAGAGTGGACACAGCGTCTGGACATCTGGCCTGACCCCTACTTGGCGTACAAACCACACAACAGGATCTCCACCCCCCCTGCACTTATGGATTAGACACTGTACACACACACACACACACACACACACACACACACACACTCCTGTGATTAGGATATGAGAGGTATGATCATGGGGGGAATGCCTGGGAGGGACACCTAGCCCAGACTTAGGAAATCAGGAAAGGCTTCTCAGAGGAGGTGATGTCAATATTGAATCTGGAAGATAAATAGGAGGTTGGCAGGTCCGGGAAGGACAGTGCTGATTGAGGTGGTGTAGAAAGGAGAGCCTGGTGCGCTCCAGGAACGTGGTGTGGGTGGGGTGGGGGCAGTTAGTGATGGAAAGAGATGAGGTGGGAAAGGGTATGAGGGGCCAGCTCTTCGAGTCTGCCACCTGCTAAGGATTCAGGCGTTCTCCCAAGAACAGTGGGCAGCTTTTGATGTAACAGGAGAGCAGGGAAGGGTAAGCCCTGGTGCAGGTGTGCAGATGCAGATGGAGAATCGATGTTGTTATAAGGATCCAGTAAAAGTTTGAAAAATTTAGTAGCCTGAAAGTATTCCCTGCCTCCCTAAAAGACTCTGGGATGGGTTATTCTAGAAAGAGATCCAAGGGAGCCTTCTGTGGGCCACTGCACACACTTATTTATCTCACTTCTACCCGCCTTTAAAGTAGTTACCTACTCATATAGATCCACAATCCCTTATCCATGATTTAAAAAATCCAGAAAGTTCTGATAAGTGGGATTTTCCAAATTTGGTGGCAAAATCTTACTTAAATGATGAGGCTACTATAGTCCTTATGCCTCCCTTTTGTCTGAATTGTCAGGTTTGCCTGAGAAATATTAATGTATGTGATCCCAGCATCAGGCCCCAAAAGCCACTGAGGGGGTTTCCTCCTTTATAGGGCCTCTATGTACCCTGTTTCTAGAATTTGGAAGGGGTCAATTCTAAAAGCTGCTTGGCCCCAGTGGCTTGTGATGACTTAAGCCCGGCATGTCTGTCGCTCCTGCTGGATTTAAGCCACCCGGGCACCACCTATCCTTGGCCTCTGTTTCTCACGGGGCTGGCACGGCCTTGCCCACAGCGGAAGTGCTCAGGAGACCTCTCTGTGGCCCTTCAGCAGTGTGGTCGTCCCCGTCCCCGCCCCGGCCTCCGGCTCGGCCCGCCTGGCTGCTGGGCTCCCGCGTCGGGCCCCGGGCCCTGTGTTCTCCTGCCTCATCCCAGGATGGCTCCTCTGAGTGGTTCTTGCTGCTTCTTGCAGGCACCCTGGCTGGGGTCATCGATCTCGCCGTCGACTGGATGACCGACTTGAAGGAGGGGGTCTGCCTGTCTGCCTTCTGGTACAGCCACGAGCAGTGCTGCTGGACTTCCAACGAGACCACTTTTGAGGACAGGGACAAGTGTCCCCTGTGGCAGAAATGGTCGGAGCTGCTGGTGAATCAGTCGGAGGTGGGTTTCTGGGGTCCTGGCTGGGGATGCCCGCCATTTCATGGGTGCTTTGCAACACCACTGGGCCTTCTGCGCCTGTCTGGGCTTCCTTCCAGTGTTTGTTCTGATAACTGTCCTTGGCTCAGTCCCAGCGCGACTTGGCTTCTTCCAGCTCTGATGTGCCAACTAGAGCTGGAAAAGCTTTCCCTACTGATTCACGTGCACGGTATATGTATATGTTCATAAAAGTCTTGTTTCTCTTACCGACAGTGGTTTGCTGACTGTGCTGAAGAAGCAGGGTTGCTTTTTATACCTTCTGATAAGTTATCTTTTCTTTTGTAAAAAACAATAGGCGCTTTATGAGGTATGATTCACATTCTGTATGGTTCTCCCATTTAAAGTGTACAGAGCACTAGCTTGTAGAAGATTCACAGAGTTGTGCTACCCTCACCACGGTACAATTTTAGAACACCTTCATCATCCCAAAAGAAACCTTGTACCCATTAGCAGCCACTCGCCACTCCTCCCAACCCACCAGCCCTAAGCGACCCCTGATCTCTCTGTCTCCAAGTGGAATCCTACACGATGTGGACTTTGGTGTCCCATTTCTTTCACTCAGCATCCTTTTTTTTTTAGGTTCATTCATGTTGTAGCATAAACTGGCATTCCCTTCCTTTTCGTGGCTGAATCCTGTTTCATCGTAGGGCTAGACCACATTTATCCACTCCGTAGTTGAGGAACACGGGCTGTTTTCGCTCTGGCGCTGTTAGGAGTGATTTTGTTTTGAACGTTTGTACACAAGTTTTTGTGTGGGCATAGTTTTCATCTCTCTTGGGTCTAGCCTTAGTCGGGGAATTGCTGGGTCCTATGGCAACTCCGTGTTAAGCCTTTTGAGGAATATTTTCCAGAGTGATTTTGCCATTTTCCAACCCTGCCAACTGCGTGTGAGGGTTTCTGTTGGTCCACCTCCTCGTCAGCACTTGTGATTGTCTGGATTCGATTCTAGCCATCCTAGCAGGTGTGATGTGCCATCTCAGTATGGTTTAAGTACTCGTCTTCCAGTGCATTTTAGAAGTGCATTGCGGAGGATGTTTCTGGGCCTTCTGCGATAGGAGTGTCCCGGTGAACTACAGACTGGCGCTTGCCTTCACGGCGCTTAGAGCTTCACATCTGTCCAAAAGTCTTCATTTGGGAAGAAGGTTAACTTGTAACTGAATTCAATGGCGATTACAGTGACTCTGGGTCCTGGACAGATCAGAAACCCAGGTGGGGTGGGGGAGCCAGGTTGGCGAGATTCACATGAGGGGTGATGCGAGGATGTATTTCTGGAAGATGGATGTGCTTTATCCCTTTTCTCCCCCACCCTGCAACCACACACTTTTTTTTTTTTTTTTTTTTTTGCCCGATACCACAGCTGAAAGATATGTGGAGTGCACTTGGCCATTTTGCTAAACCTCTTCCTCAGTGGAATTGAAAATTAATTCCTTCCAATCTCAGAAGTTAGACAGGGATCTTGAAATCTCACACATTCTCAGTGCTCTCCATTACTTCCGCAAAAAATTCTCTACTTGGGCTGATGGGAGTGGGCAGGCAGAATTGGCTGGACACCGTATTTTATTTCTTGTCTCCTATTTGCACTACGTTTTTTTGGGGGGGGGAAATAGGGCCATCCATCTTTTCAACCGTTTCTAAGATTTATACTTTGATCCAAAGAATCACTGTTAGCAAGAATGAGAAGTTATTTTTAGTCTCAAAAAAGTACGGTTTTAAGTGGGTGAAAAGTATTCCTCAGTCTGATTTCTCTTGCATAGGGTTGAATATATGTGACTGTAAAGGCCTCCAGGTCTCCTGGAACGTGGTTTTGCATTTAATAGACGCACATGTGGCCCTATCCATAGCCTGACTTGTAGGTGACCTCGCTTTCCTTGGCCCCTCACTTGACGAATCCAGATGGTGGCAAGAAGCTGAGGCCGAGAGAAATGTCTCCACCCAGCAGACCAGGTCCGCAGCATCAAAGACCCCAGACTGCGTGTTTGGTTCAGAGAGCATTCTTCATTCATCAGATAATTTGGAATTATTATTCGGTGCATTTCCCTCTAAAAGTGCCTGGCGAGATCGCTGAAACACATTTTGCTCCCCCCTCACCGCCCCCCCCCGGGGTGTCTGGCTCAGCAGCCCCGGGGCAGAGAGTCTGCCTTTCGCCCGCGTGCCCTGGGGATGCTGATGCTGCGGGTCCCGGACCACAGCGGGATACAGTTCTGCCGCTTGCCCCGGCGCGGATGTGGCCTTCATGAAGGCCGAGGGAGGCCGCTGCACCGCAGCCGAGACAAGACGAACCTTCCAGGGGTTCCGCGGCAGAATTTTCGGCGTCATGCCTTTCATGACCTCTAGCGCGAGTGACAACGCCAGCCGCGTGCGGTCCGCCGCATCCACGCAGGCGGAGGTCTCCCCCGGTGGAGGGCACGTGGAAACAGCTCCCGGAGGGACGCCTGGGGCTGGGTCGGTGTGTACCTGCCCTCGCCATAGCAACGGCTCAGAAACCAGCACTGGCCTCGCTGCGGACACAGGGCGGGAGGCGAAGCTGCGCAAGCCCCCGGAAGCTCCCGCTGCCCGGGGGGAGGGGCGGGGGGCGGGGGGGGGCGGAGCTCGGCTCTGCCAAGGCTCACGTGTTCTTTCTTGTTTTGTGTGTGCTGTTCAGGGTGCCAGTGCTTACATTCTGAATTACCTCATGTACATCCTGTGGGCATTGCTGTTTGCCTTTTTGGCCGTCTCCCTGGTGCGTGTATTTGCACCATATGCCTGTGGCTCGGGTATACCAGAGGTGAGTGGTGGCTGAATTTCTTTTGTGCCAATAATGAGAAAAGCAAATACTTACGTAGCACTTAGGTGCCAAGCACAGTCCTGAGCATTTGGTATCTGTTAACTCATTGAGTGCTTACAGTGAGCCTGTGAGGCAGGTTCTGCTATTTTTCATGTGATAGTTGAGGAAACGGAAGCACAGAGAGGTTAAGCAACTTGGCTGAGGTCACACAGCTGGTTAGCTACAAGTTGAACCCGGCTGTCTGGCTTCAGGATTTATGCTCTGTATTCAGGATTTATGCTCTTTTGCTTCTCAGACGATTAAATTCTTGTCTTTGCAAACCAGGCATAACTCTTAAAGCCTGTGGAATCCGAGTTCATTAACCACATACATAAATATGGCACTTGAGAAACTTTTCAGTGCGCCTATGATGTCAGGTGAAAAAGACAGTAACGGAGGTTTGTTGCTCGGAACGTTGACTGATGAGTCAACTCTCTTATGAGTCAACTCCCTTGCCACGTTTTGCTCCTCTGGTGACAGGGTAATAGCAATCTCTAAAAAACGTAAATCCACATTCAGGGCATGCACCGTGAATGCACCCCTGTGAGTTTAGAGTTCTTATATCGTCTAGCACTTTCATGTAACCCGAGTGTGAGGGAGGTGACCTCATTGATAGAGAAGAATGCTTGAGATTAAACTTCAGACCTAGGAGGCTACAATAATGATAATTGAGCAAGTTCCTCCAAAAGGCCAGACAGTGAACATTTTAGCCAGAAATAAGTTTAAAAGTTCTTATACTGGGGTGTCTGGGTGACTCAGTCGATTAAGCAACTGATTCTTGTTTTGAGTCCAGGTCATGATCTCAGGGTCGTGAGATGGAGCCCTGCGTGGGGCTCCTCACTTAGCTCAGCATCTGCTTGGGAATCTCTCTCCCTCTCCCTCTGCCCCTTCCCCCTGCTCTCTCTCTCTAAAACAAATAAATAAACATGTTTTTAAAAAAGTTCTTATATTATCACGATAATCAAGCTGGTGCTTCAGCAGTGCCCCTAGAGGTGGAGATGGTGAGTTTAAAGATGGCGACCCGTGGTGGCAACAGACCCGCCTTGGTCCCTGCTCCCTTGCACCCACACTCTTTGGTGGTACTTGCCAACACAGCCGCTGTTCCGGGCAGTTCTTGGAAAGGGCTGGAGTAATTGAAAGATTGTCAAAAGCAAAGCCCAACGTTGTCCTGTTCCAGGAAAGAGAGAAAAATAGAGTATGTCATGCTGACCTTTTGTTGGTTTGCATTGACATATTGCGGCAGGAACTGGAAGAGCAAGCCGCAGCGCCATGCTGTTGCCTTCGTAGAGTCCGCTCTGTTCCCGTGCAGCACGGGCATTCCTGCAGGTCCCGGGCCGTGCAGCATCGCACGGGCAAGCGCTCCACCCTGCCGGGGCAAACGGCAGCAGGAGCACAACACTTAGAAACTTCATCAGTGACACATGTGAAAAGATAGAAACCTAGGAAAACAGTAGCCCAGGGGCGCCTGGGTGGCTCAGTCGGTTGGGCATCTGCCTTCCGCTCAGGTCATGATCCCGGCGTCCTGGGATTGAGCCCCGCATCGGGCTCCTTGCTCGGCGGGAAGCCTGCTTCTCCCTCTCCCCCTCCCCTTGCTTGTGCTCTCTCTCTGATAAATAAATAAAATCTTAAAAAAAAAACCCAGTAGCCCGGTTTACACGTGTGAAACAGTTAAGAAACATAGACTCGCTAGCGCACGTGTGACCTGGTAGACGTTGGAGGCCCACACTGTGTGCGTTTTGTGCCTTCCTGCCCAGCTCCGTTCTGGTGGTGCCATTTTCTGCGTAGTTACGTGTTTCTCCCAGATGAAACTGGGCATAAACAGACACGAAATTTGCGTTATGCTCTAGTTCTTCCCCAATGCCTGAATCACACTGGAACAAATCTGTGTTTTCAAAAGCAGCATTATGGCAGAACGGACTGTGTCGTATTTGGTATCTAAGACCCTAGGCCCCCTGGACGCTAAAGAGCACAGACTGGTGTTGGCCTCTCAGTTTGATGACCCCACTGCCTGACAGTAGGCTTTTTTGGACCCAAGCTGCCTTTCCAAAATGAGCAGGTGGCCGATGGGGAATTGGAAAATTTAAAGCAGCCATAAAAGGGGTGATGGCAATCCCATCGTCCCCTTCCAAAAACCAGAGACACATGGCTCAGCTTGTGATCTTGTAGACAGACAGGGGGCTTGGACGTGAGCTCTGTCTGGGAGGGGCTGCCTGGACTTACAGTCTTTGTCCAAAGTGGGCATCTATTTGTGACAGCTGAACTCGAAAGGAGTTAAATCCGAAGTCGAGCATGACGTTCCCTATGTGGGGGACGTGCAAGCACATGCTGGTGTGCATGAAACTCAGGAGAGCTGTAGCAAGTGAAAAAAGTGGCAAAAGAATATATAAAGTATGATTCTATTTATACAAAGTCCACAAACAGCCACAGTGAAACCACACGCTGTTTAGTGACACACATGTATGCTCAATGTATAAAGGTAGGCAAGGAAACGATTGGGCTCGGGGAGCAGGAAGGTTCCACTGAGGAAGCAAACACGGGGCTTTCATAGGTACCCACTCTTCTCTGAAATGCGCTGGTGGGTACATGGGTGCTTGTTTTATTAATACACTTTTAACCATATATTACATGTAACAGATTCATTTCTCCATTTGTGAAAGAGTTCACAATAATCTTTTTTTCTAAAGATTTTGTTTATTAGAGAGAGAGTGTGCACTAGCGGGTGCGGGGAGGGGAGAGAGAGCACAGAGGCAGAGGGAGAGGCAGACTCCCCACTGAGCAGGGAGCCCCACATCGGGACTCGATCCCAGGACCCTGGGATCGCTACCTGAGCCCAAGGCAGACACTTAACTGACTGAGCCACCCAGGTGCCCCCACAATAATCTTTTTAAGTGCCAGGAACCCCATGGAGGTTTTATAATTAAGTTTTGGTTAGTATGACTCAGTAGTAGCAGAATTCTCACTATTATTATGGGACAGCTTCAAATTCCTAACCTTAGGGTCCAGCTCTTGGAGGAAAGGGACAGAGTAAAAAGGAAATGTAGATAAATGTTTCATGCATAAAAAGAACCTCCTAGGCAAAACCCGGCTAGCTGTGTAAACCGACTTCACTCGAATTGAGATGCAGGCCCATTCTCCCTCATTTTAGCAAAGATACTCACTGAGGTATTTAGAAAATAAACTCTTCGTCCGAGGTGATGTCATGTGACTTGAAGTGTCAGAGTGGACTTGGGCAGTGGTGCCCTTTGGCACGTTTACAAATTGCTCATTCCCCCTAGCATTTGCTTCTGAAACATTTTGATTGCCTGGAATGGACATTCCTTTGGAAACGTTTTATTTTATTTATTTATTTATTTAATTTATTTTTAAAAGATTTTATTTATTTGACAGCGAGAGACACAGCGAGAGAGGGAACACAAGCAGGGGGAGTGGGAGAGGGAGAAGCAGGCTTCGTACTGAGCAGGGAGCCTGATGCGGGGCTCCATCCCAGGACCCTGGGATCATGACCTGAGCCGAAGGCAGACGCCTAATGACTGAGCCACCCAGGCGCCCCTGGAAACATTTTTAAAAATGCAGATTTAGAGGACATTTATTTTGTGTAATAAATGCTCTTGTTTAAGCTCTCTAAAGCACATTGAAAAGTGTTCTTGGCTATGGGGAGTTAGAGAGAAGAAGACAAGGGTGTCCCTCTTTCTGTTGCTGTTTGCTTTGTTGGTAGAACCCCTGTTGACTCTATAAGAAATCACGTCCTCTTAAAACTTGCTTTGAATTGATGTTTCAGTTCATTACAAAAAGTGAGCACTCTCACAAATATTTATTTACCAGAAAGGCTTTACCTTTAACATCAGCAAGTTGCAAAACCACCCCAATACATCCCGTGAAAGCACTGCTTGATTCAGTCTCTATTAATTCATACTAAGTAAGTGATTAGGTTTTGGCATTTCCCGGGACTGAATTTGCTTTCTTTAGTCCCTAATTTGATCATGACGATTTTATAAAATCATTATAGAGAATTACAAAATACCTATTACATTGTTCATTTCACCACATGTCGTGGCTGGCAGAGGCTCAGGTAATTTAGATGCTTGTAATCTTCTAAATGGTATTACATTCTTAAACTGTACCCTAGGGTCCAAATCCACATTAACTAACTGACAAAAAATTATAGATAATTTTATTCGAGGCAACACAAAAGGGCAGGACTGTGGCAGGCATAATAAAACATCCCTTAAATAAAGAGATCTGCGATCCCCCGAGCATGGGCTCAAATAAGCCAACTGCCACTAGTTAAAGACCACTTTCACCACTGGTAGTCTGTCTGCCATTAGTTAGAGGCTAGTTCAGGAAACACTGTCCGACTGTCTAGCTAGAAGACCTCACTCGTGCTTTAAAGGAAGGAGCTCATTGAGTTCTTGGGAAATGCGTGCCTGCACGCTCACTCGCGTGGTCTTTGTCCGTGAATTAAGAAACAGATCTCTATCAATAATGCCTGAGGTGAAGTTGCTCCATTCATACGCCTTTAAAATTTTGAGGATTAGCTCACTTCACGACCCGCCCCAAATCGCCAAAGGTGACGTGATGCCAGAGTGTTTTGGGACCGTCCCCTGAGTAAGGAGAAATTAGGAATACCTGTACTACTATTTTCAGGAATGGAGCAGTGGTTCTCCACCTGGGCTGCATTTTCAAATTACCTGGGGAGGCTGTACCCCCAGGTATATCCCATGGCTGTATCCCGTGCCTGGGATACACCTCAGACCAACTGCATCAAATCTCCACAGGGAGAGCCAGTCCTCACTGGTATCTAATTCCCCAGGTGATTCCAGTGAGCGTCAAGGCCTTGAGAAGGGTTTGAGGACTGTAATAGCTTTTTGAGACATTAATTTCTCGGCAGAGCAGTGTCCACTAGGAGGCACTTTGAAGTTATGCAAATATCCTGACACTGACAAGAGATAACCTTGTCCCACTGTGTTAACACAGCAGGAAAACCGAAATTGACCACAGATTTCATTGGCTGACTCACTCATCATAGGCTTGTAAGTTGCCAGCTCACACAGTGAACATTCACTCCATTTCAGCCAGTTGTGGGAGAGGTTGAGGGTAAAAAATTACCCATTGGTGATACTTCTGTATCCAAAGATAGGGGTTTTAGGTAAAGAGGACTCCCAGTATGTGAAATTCATCACTGAGATTGGCGGCCAGTTGAATTCTAAAAGCGTAAGGCGAACTGCACCATTAGGAAGAAAGACATTATTTGCCTTTTTTTGGCCTTTACAAAATGTGGCAGATCTGAAAATGGAGCAAGATGACTCTACCTGTAGTCAAAGTCCTTCTCAATACCAGAGGGCAGGATTCGACGGAAGGGAAGGAGTTGTCCTGGCGTCAATCATCTTTACATCCCCTGGAGATGTGTTATTAGAATGTTGAGCCTCTTCTTTTTCCAACATCGTGTTAAGAGTATTTTCAAGCCTACAGAAAAGTTGAAATAATTGCGCAGTAAACTCCCATACCCCTGGCCTGCAGCAGGGGTCAGCAGACTTTTCCAGTAAAGGGCAGGGAGTCACTATTTTAGGCTTTGTAAGCTGAGAGGCAAAATCTAGCAGCTATTCTCAGTAAAAGACTAGTAGTCTTGTTTATAAACTACATTTAAAAAATGTTAAAAGCACCCTTAGTTCATGGGTCATACAAAAGCAGGCAGTGGGCTGGATTTGGCCTGCGGGCCATAGTTTGCCGACCCCGACCTACAGCTGAGTTGACATTTTGTTCTAGTTAATGCTTTGTCACAGAGCTAGCCAGCTTTCTGTCTCTTTATCTTGAACTTCCCTCGATAATCAAAAATTAACGGTTAAAATCAACAGATACATGTTTCTCTTCAACACAACAGAGGGTAACATGAACAGGATAAAATGCCATAAAGAAAATGAGACCCTGATAATTACTCCTTCAGTCCTCATTATGATCTCTTATTACTTTAGAAATTCTTTTTTTTTTTTGAAATTCTTTTTTTCTTTTAAATATTTATTTATTTGTGTGTGTGTGAGAGAGAGAGAGAGAGAGAGAGAGAGAGTGCGGGGGCGGGGGGGGGGGGGGAGGGAAGGGCAGAGGGAGAGAGAGTCTTAAGCAGACTCTGCACTGAGCATGGAGCCTGACGCAAGGCTCGATCCCGTGATCCTGAGATCAGGACCTGAGCTGAAACCAAGAGTCGGATGCTTAACCGACTGCACCACCCAGGCGCCCCTACTTTAGAAATTCTTAAGATGTGCTACACATTGAATGGTTTCAAGTTAACATTAATATAAAATTATATGTTGTTATAAATTCTGTTAATATGAAATTATAGTCAGATCCAAAACTAAAGTAACTTCTCCTTGGTATGATCAAGTTGAGTCTAGTGCTGGGGAATTAGTTACTTCCCTCGCTGCGGCTTCAAAGCGGCTCACTCACCCTCGTTCTCCATCCTCTGTTTCAGATAAAGACCATTTTGAGCGGCTTTATCATCAGGGGCTACTTGGGGAAGTGGACCCTGCTGATCAAGACCGTCACCCTGGTGCTGGTGGTGTCCTCCGGCCTGAGCCTGGGGAAAGAAGGGCCGCTGGTACATGTGGCTTGCTGCTGTGGCAACTTCTTCAGCAGCCTTTTCTCCAAGTACAGCAAGAACGAGGGCAAGAGGCGCGAGGTGAGCAGGCTCCGCTCCGGTCTGCAGTGATGGCCTCTTCTGGAAGCCCCGTCCCGGCTCGCCTGCATCGCAGGTCTGCATGGCAGGGCTGGGGGCTTACACAGAGCTCTTTGCCTCACAGGTGCTCTCCGCCGCCGCCGCTGCCGGAGTCTCCGTGGCCTTTGGGGCTCCAATCGGGGGTGTGCTCTTCAGTCTTGAGGAGGTGAGGAGGGGTGGCAGGTGGGGGGACGGATTCGTGGTTTCGGGGGCTGAGGAACATGTCGATGGCTAGCACAGCGGGAGACCTCCATCTCCAACCCTTTGAGGACTGCATTCCAAGGAGTATTGACAAGATTCCTGCAGCTCATTAAGAAGCCACAGTTTTTGCTGTTAAATATGTTTTCCAGTATTATTTTAAAAATTGCCTTTTTTTTTTTGAATTTTGCAGTCTCTCTTTCTCCTAATAACTTAATGAGGCATTTCTGTTTTTGGCACCCTGAATGGATCTATTCCAGGGGTCAGCAAATGTTCTCTGCAAAGGGCCAGAGAGTAAATATTCTAGGCTCTGTGGGTCTTCCGGTCTCGGTTGGAACTACTCAGTTTTGTCATTATATCGGGAAAGCCGCCACACACAACACTCACATGATGGGCATGGCCCCATTCCAATAAAACTTTCCTTGTGGATGCTGGAGTGTGCACCTTTTTTTTTTTTTTTAAAGATTTTATTTATTTATTTGAGAGAGAGAGTGAGAGAGAGAGAGAGCACATGAGAGGGGGGAGGGTCAGAGGGAGAAGCAGACTCCCTGCCGAGCAGGGAGCCCGATGCGGGACTCAATCCAGGGACTCCAAGATCATGACCTGAGCCGAAGGCAGTCGCTTAACCAACTGAGCCACCCAGGCGCCCTGGAGTGTGCACCTTATGTAATTTTCACATGTCACAAAATATTGCTTTTCTTTTTTTTTTTTTAAGATTTTATTTATTTGGCAGAGAGAGACACAGCAAGAGAGGGAACACAAGCAGGGGGAGTGGGAGAGGGAGAAGCAGGCTCCCCGCTGAGGAAGGAGTCAGATGAGGGACTCTATCCCAGGACCCTGGGATCATGACCTGAGCTGAAGGCAGATGCCCAACCGACTGAGCCACCCAGGCACCCCAAAATATTGCTTTTCTTTTGAATATTTTGAATATCACAAAATATTTCTTTTTGACCCTCAGCATTTAAAAACGTAAAAATCCATTCTTAACTCATGTGCCATATAAATACATTTGCTGGGCCAGGGTTTTCCAACCCTTGACCTATTCCGTTGTCTGTAGAATCAGATCCAGAGGTGTATTTGATTTTAAGAGGGTCTTTGTGACATAAACAGAATTAGGTTGAAGTATTTTCATTTCTCTTAAAAAATAGCTCAGACACATCTTGACTAGTGTCTGTTTCACTTTTAGATACTGAGTCCTTTAAATACTTTGTTGGTGCCCCTTGGTGATAATGAACCCTAGCCTGAGGAAGTTAGTACTGCCCATCTTTGGTCCGTGTGACTGTCCCACTAAGCGCCACTGGGTGGCTGCCGATCAGGGGCTGGGGGCTCAGGGCAGCCCTTTCTTCGGCCAGTCTCATTTTCTCCTTGTTCGTCCCAGGTCAGTTACTACTTTCCCTTGAAGACCTTGTGGAGGTCCTTTTTCGCGGCCCTGGTGGCAGCCTTCACGCTGCGATCCATCAATCCCTTTGGGAACAGCCGTCTCGTTCTCTTTTACGTGGAATACCACACGCCCTGGTATATGGCCGAGCTCTTCCCCTTCATCCTGCTCGGGGTCTTCGGAGGCTTGTGGGGAACCCTCTTCATCCGCTGCAACATCGCCTGGTGCAGGAGGCGCAAAACCACCAAGCTGGGCAAGTACCCGGTGCTGGAGGTCATCGTGGTGACCGCCATCACTGCCATCAGCGCCTACCCCAACCCCTACACGCGCCGGAGCACGAGCGAGCTCATTTCCGAGCTGTTCAATGACTGCGGCGCCCTCGAGTCCTCCCAGCTCTGTGACTACATCAATGACCCCAACATGACCCGGCCTGTGGATGACATCCCGGACCGGCCGGCCGGCGTCGGGGTTTACACGGCCATGTGGCAGCTGGCCCTGGCGCTGATCTTCAAAATCGTCATTACCATCTTTACGTTTGGCATGAAGGTCAGTGAAGGGGGAAGGAGGGGTTGGGCGGGGGGGACAGTTCATCACCTCCTCGCCAGGGTAAAATGGTGACCGGGGTTGGGGGGGGAACAACTGACCCTTACTGACCGTTTTCTCACGCCGGGCACTTGACATTCTTTTTAATCACCAAGAAGCAATGCTTTTGATAAGCAACACGTCTGAGAACTAGATTGTAATCACTTTACCAGTGAAGAAGCGAAGGCTCAGAGTATATCATCCACACAGAGCTGTGTGTAGCTTGAGGAATTTTCATAAAACGCGCGCTTGTGTAATGAGCACCCAGGAGCCGAAGCAGAACATTTCAAACCCTGCAGAACCTCTGTAGCGTTCCCCTACTATTGCTTTCTGTGTGGGACTTTTATGATTTGTTTCATTTTAAAAAGACTAAGAAGCTGTGTACTTGAGTGTGTAATGGTCAAACACAAACCTGAATTTTTGCCTTAGGAGCAGGGGTGGGTGGACTTTATTAAACAGCCAATTGTCTCTGATCTGCCATCTCCAAGCAAAGGGGTTATTTGTGTGTCTGAGGAAGATGCTAGCAGCCTCTTCTGGTGCCTGCTGGGAGAAGTCTACTTTGCAGTTACAGGGAGTTAAATGACTAGGAATCGGGGGTCGGGGGGGGCACTCAGAAAGGAAGTTTCTTCTTCAGGAACATCCCAAAGTCTAGAAATCATCCTCGAGGATCCAAACTTACCTGGAATTTGGTTATAAATCCACTTCCATCCTCAGCTCGATGACCATCTTGGGCAACTCCCAGGCAGGATTGGCGATCACTTGCAGTGTCCATGAACATGGAGAGTCAGGCACATTCTCTAGCCCATGTCCGATCACTCGATAAATGAAAGCGCATTTCCACACCGCAAAATGTGAAACACACTGCCACCAAGATCTTCTAGTTTACTACATAGACCTTCTAGTTCTTTGCTGCCTTTCACCGGGCGTGAAAATATTCAGAAAACTTCTTGGAAAGTAGTTCGTTAGGAAGAGGGAATGGCCCCTGTCTCTCTGGCAGGTGTTGGGCCATTGTATCCTCAACGGGACAGTCAGCCCGTGAGAAGCTTCCAAAGGTGCTGGGCAGCGGCACTGAGCTGCTTGGTTTGACTTGTGAACGGTCGCATGCCTTTCTTTTCCATTCTTATGCTGCGGCTTGACATTTAATTTTAAAAAGCTAATGTGAATGATTCGCAAGGGGAGAGAGAAAGTGGTGAGTACACTTCGAATGTTACTTGCAGTGGGGCTTCTCATTCCTTCATCCCCAGCGGGAGAACCAGGCCCCCTCTTGAAGGAGAGGAAACGAAAGTGTAAAACTGCATTCTGTCCAAGTCACAGTAGCTAGGACTGACTAAACGGGTGAAGCCACTTGTCCCGCTTTGTCCCCGCGGACCTCCGTTTGGAAGCGTTGCCCCTCCTCTGAAGACAAGCGCGGGGCGAGCGTGTTGTGGGGGGGACGACTGCTCACCGGGAGTGGGGAAGCGGCCATGCGGACCTTCCCTCATGCTTCTCTTCCCTGTGTGCCCCTGGAGATCCCCTCAGGTCTCTTCATCCCCAGCATGGCCGTGGGAGCCATGGCGGGCAGGATGGTGGGGATTGGCGTGGAGCAGCTTGCTTACCATCACCATGACTGGATCGTCTTCAGGAACTGGTGCAGGCCCGGAGCAGACTGTGTCACCCCCGGACTTTATGCCATGGTGGGAGCTGCGGCCTGCCTAGGTACAGGCACAGGTGGGCCGGGCCGGGGCGGGCCGGGCTGCAAGGAAAGCTGAGCTAGGCCGAGCGCCGTCACCAGGCTGCGCTGGCTTCGGGCACCGGTGAGAAGGAGGACATGGGCTCGAGTGCTGGCATTCTCAGGATAGGCCAGGTTGTGTTGCTGTCGCAGGTAAGGCGCTAAATCTCAGTGGCTTAACACACCAGGGCTTAGAGCTTGCTCATCATATGCAGTCGGCTCTCATTATTTGTGGAGCCCATATTTGGGGATTTGCCCACGTGCTAAAATGTGTTTGTGACCCCTAAGCCAATACTCGCGGGGCGTTGGCTGTCATCCTCGGGCACGCGCAAGAGCAGTGGAAAGTGTAAGGTGTTTTAGCACGTATGTTCCCAGCTCCGGGTGAACGAGGTGTGAAGGCCCACCCTCTTGTTTTCGCGCGGATACCCCTACACAAGTATCCTTTTCATGGTCTAGTTAGTGTCATGTTTTTTTGGCATTTTGTGAATGATTTTGTTGTTTTAAATGGCCCCCAAACATAGTGCTAAAGTCTGTCTGGGGATCCTAAGCACAAGAAGGGTGGGATGTGTCTTACGGAGAAAATAGGCATGTCGGAGAAAGTCTTCTCAGGCAGGAGTTACAGTGCTGTTGGCTGTGAGTTCCACGTTAATGAATCATCTACACGTATTAAATAAGGTGTCTTTAAACAGAAATACACATGAAATAAGGTTCTGTATTGATGGGTTGACCAAAATGTTGTGAGCAGAAGCTCGCAGGAACCTGACCTTGTGTTTCCCCTAGGGCAGTGATTCAGTATTTGCTCATTCAGTGTTTGTGGCAACTTTGTAGATCATAACTACCATGAATAATGAGAATTGGCTGTGTGTGTGTGTGTGTGTGTGTGTGTGTGTGTGTGTGTGTATAATGTAAGTTAGTAGAGAGCTTTTCTCCAGTCAGTCATTCAGGGCCCCGGGTGATGATGGAGTCTCCACCATCTTGCAGCTGGGCCATCCAGAATAGTGGTTTCAACGGGGGGCAGTTGTGCCTCTCAGGAACACTGGGCAATGGAGGAGACATTTTTGGTTGTCACACCTGCAGGGGTGGTGCTACTAGCATGTAGTGGGTGGTGGCCGGGGATGCTGCTAAACATCCTGTAATACACAGAACAGCCCCCACATCGAAGAATGATCCAGCCCCAATTGTTCCTAGTGCTGAGATCGAGAAACTCCAGTTTAAGCTCATTGGAAGACTAGTACGAGTTGGTATGGATTCTTCTTCTAAATACCAACGGATACAAAGTTGGGCCCCTCTCCTGTCCATAACCACTAAGCATCTCTATAGTTTCCCAGCTTAACGGGGTTCTGGAACAGAGCCACAATTGCTGTGTCGGAAACCTGCATAGCCCACATAGGATCCACTCACCAAAAAGCCAGGCCTGTGGTCTTGGGTGAAGAGACAACCCAGTTGTCTTCTCACTGAAGAAAAGCCCCCCAGTCAGATGTGACTTATGGCCCCTGGGGCAAGGCTGCATTCAGCGGAGCCTGGCCGGCGTTCCAGAGGTCTGCCATGGGCAACATGTAGGACCGTCTCTTCAGAACAGGTGTCTGGAGAATTTAGAGCCAGCTTGTCCATTTCCACCGTTCATGCCCTCTTAGGGTCTGGAGTTGAGTTTCAGAATTGTATTCCTGTCTTCGGTTGCAGGTGGAGTTACCCGGATGACGGTGTCATTGGTGGTCATCATGTTTGAATTAACGGGCGGTCTGGAGTACATTGTGCCCTTGATGGCGGCAGCCGTGACCAGCAAGTGGGTGGCCGATGCCTTTGGGAAAGAAGGCATCTACGAGGCTCATATCCACTTAAATGGGTACCCATTTCTGGACGTGAAGGATGAGTTCACCCACCGCACGCTGGCCACCGACGTCATGCGGCCACGGCGGGGCGAGCCGCCTCTGTCCGTGCTCACCCAGGACAGCATGACCGTGGAGGACGTGGAGACGCTCATCAAGGAGACCGACTACAACGGCTTCCCTGTGGTGGTCTCCAGGGACTCCGAGCGCCTCATTGGGTTTGCCCAGAGGAGGGAACTGATTCTCGCGATAAGTGAGTAGAGAGGGGGACGCTCATGCTGTCCTAAGAGGCCAGTGGCCTCCTTTGTCCCCCCTGAATTCCCACAGAGGTCAGAGAGACTGCAAAGGTCCGAGGGCTTGAAGCCGGGGCTCTCACGCTTTCCCGCGCATATTCCTATCCCCTGGGGATCTGGTTAAAATGCGGATTCTGGCTCAGTAGGTTTGGGGGGATGGGGGGGAGGCCGCATTTCTCCCAAGTGACAGCGGCGTTTGCACGCGGCCTCTGGGGCCCGCCCCTGCTAGGTGGTCGCCGCCGCCGCCTTTTTAGGGAGTTGTCAGGGGAAGCTGGGAAGGATGGAGGCGGGAGGGCCCGGACTGGCCCCGGCGAGCTGCTCTCAGAGACAGACTTTCAGGCAGGCTTCCCGACGTCGAGGGTGAGTTCTCCGTCCCAGCCGCCTCCCTGGGCACCGCACAAGCCCTTCACTTCACTTGGCGGCGTTACGTCCCACTCAGTACTCAGAGGCCCGCGGGTCCGTTCCGTGTGACGCTTCCCTCCCCGCCCCCCGCCCCCCCCCCCCCCGGTGTGCCAGCTGGCAGCGGCGGGGCCAAGGGGCAGGCTGCTGGGTCGGGAGAGGAGCAGGCGGGTGATGCCCGGGTGCGGTGTGCCCAAGACAGTGGCTCAGAGAAGCAAGGCTGCCGGGTCCGCAGCCTAGGGATGCCTGCACTGCAAGGGAGGTGGGAGGTAGGAGTCCCAAGATAAAGGCCTGGGTGTGAGCCACGTGGAGACCTAGGAAGAAGGACAGCGAGCCACGGAAACCCCCTCGGGGTGGAGTCCGTCCTGCGCTCGTGAGGCGGCAGGGACCAGCAGAGCCCCCCGCCCCAGGGTGCCGTCCCGCTCAGCCCGCCTGCTGCCGTGATCGCCCCATCCCGGCATCTCACGGCCAGCTGGGGCCCACGACACGGCTCGTTTGGACGCTTGATGACTTTACCACGTATGTCGCCTTCCAGGGTGTTGAAGAAGTTCGCCGGGGTGGGACTAGCCCGGGTAGGATTGCCGCACGCTCTACTGGGAACACACCTTCACCAGACGACCCTTGGCTTATCCCTGCCCTTGGTTAACTATTTCTGAGGCGCCCTCTCAATTTCTAAAATCTCTTTGTGATGTTAAAGAGCTTTTCAGATATCTTTAAAGTACCTTCATCAAAAGCTTTATAAAAATAAGTTTGGATAATGAAAAAAAATAAGTTTGGATAAGCCACATCCTCTAATTTTAGTTTGTTGCTCAAACGTATTTACCTCCCCCAAAGCAACAACTGGGTTTGTATTTTAGACCCGATAGCACATTGGTGCGTATGTGTTCAGTGATGCTTGTCTTTATTATAGGTCCTGTCGCTTAACAGGTAAGTGCCTTCGGGCGTAAGTATTGCCTTATAAATAATGAGGTTTGTTTTAAGCTGTGTGAGCAGGGCTGGGTTTGTTTTAAAATAATGTAATCAGCAGCCTTGAAAAATTTATGCAGTCCCTAAAGTCTTTTAAGCAAAAGCTGAAATTTAAAAACTAAAGTAACATCACTGGATCCGTTACCTATTGTGCAGCTCCGGGCACACCTGCTAAGAGACAGCTTACTAATTTTGCTGTGTAATCAAGTGGGAAGCAGTAATTGTCATCAACCGGGTAGTGAAGAAATTTAGGCTTGCTGACGGAGCGTGCTCTTAGAAGCTATGTTTGGAATGTCTGAAGAGGCAACACGCCGTGTAAATAATACCTATATGCTTTCAATCAGGCTGATAATAGTATAGAAGCTGCTGTTTACGTGGTTTGTGGAAAGGCAAGGAGTGTTTCACTCTAAGCAATCAGAAAAGCTGTTTCCCTGATCTATGGAAATAGCAGAGTCCCGGGACCCTGGTGGAGAAATTGGTGACCTGTATTTGCAGAATTATGGGGTCTTTCGTGAATATAGAAATATGACTTTAGCATTTATCTAGTGACTGTCTCATGCCAGTTTCATTTTCAGGGGAATTAGGAGCAAAGATTATAGATAGATAGAACCAAGATAATTTGAACAAGAATGGTAAATGAGGCAAATAAGGGCTTTTCTTATACATCATGTTAAAATTGTAAGCGACTGAGGCACCTGGGTGGCTCACTCGGTTAAGTGTCTGCCTTCCGGCTCACGTCATGATCTCGGGGTCCTGGGATTGAGTCCTGCGTCGGGCTCACTCCTCAGCAGGGAGTCTGCTTCTCCCTCTGCCCCTTCCTCCTCCTTGTGCTCTCTCTCTCTCAAATAAATAAATAAATAAGATCTAAAAAAAAAAGAAAATTGTAGCAACTGCTCACATGAAGCTGAAAATGGTTTATTTTCCAACCATCTCTGGAATACCAGACCATAGCCGATGTCCTTGTTAGGGAGCGGTTACCCCACCTAGGACATGCGGCGTGCTTCCCCATCACATTCTGACACATGGGGCCATGTGTGACCCATGTGCAAATTCCCGGTAAATGGGACTTTGCCTCTCGGTGCTATTTGCAAATATGAGGCTCTTTCTGTGCTCAGCAGGGCTCAGACTCTTCTAGTCTTGAATTCTGCAATTAGGTGAGGACCGGTTCAGAGAGGACTCAGCGGGAAGCCGCAAAGATGATTAAAGGGATGGAAAGTTAGAGTCACAGGCAAGAGTTAAGGAAACCCTCATTTTTTTTTTGTCTGGTGGATGATTTAATGATGGCTCTCCAGCATGTGCAAGATGCTTACTTGCAGAAAGGGATCTGCGTCCAGAACTGAACAAAGTGTCAGATCTGTTGGAAGGGCTATTTAGGGATAAAGCGGTTTCTTCCTGGGAGGGCTGTTCATGGTTGGAATAGGCCACGGAGAACAGTGGTGTCGTCTGCTGCTTTCTGCTGGGGCTTGAAACACACGCACAGAGGGACTTTTCCGTGCTGCAGTAAACTGTAACTTACCATAAAATCATCTGGTGGTTCTTCTAAATAGTTTTTATTTTATTTTATTTTTATCACATCTTCTTTGTACTGACCACCACTACAGTTGCTTTCAGTTTTCCACTTTAACATTTTTAGTTAATGACATCTGTTACATGGAAGCATTTTCGATGAACAGGATGATAGAGTATTCTCTCTCTAAAAATGTGATGACTCCAAAGTAGAGCTTCTCATCCTTAACACTGTTGACATTTGGGGCCGGATCATTCTTTCCCGTGGGGGCTGTCCTGTGCACCGTAGGATGTTTAGCAGCATCCTTGGTCTCTGACCACTAGGTGCTAGTAGCAACCCCACCATCTCCCAGTTATGACAACCAAATATGGCTCCAGATGTTTCCAAATGTCCCCTGAGGGTCAGGGCAGCGTTGCTCCCGGTTGAGAACCATTGCTCTAAAAGCCGTGGGAATAGCTTCCTGAATATGTGATTATTTCCAGCCTTAAAATTTCTTGGTCTGTCATAGTTTGTGAAATTTACTTTACCAGCACTCTTAATTCCCCTCTCTGTGCTTGGCGTTGCCATCGTATTGTCCACTAGAAAGTGGAAGGTACCTTAGCAGGTACTCACAAAATGTATCTCATTTTTCAGGAGCTGTGGCCACTGATACTAGTTCTGGTACAATAGATAACAAACCTCTTGTATTAAGAACAGCTTAACTAACCTTTAAAACAATCAAAAATGAAGTTTATTACATTCTTATTTGCTTGTTTTATTTTTTTATTATTATGTTATGTTCATCACCATACATTACGTCATTGGTCTTTGATGTCGTGTTCCATGATTCATTGTTTGCATATAACACCCAGTGCTCCATGCAGAACGCGCCCTCTTTAATACCCATCACCAGGCTAACCCATCCTCCTGTTTGCTTGTTTTAAAGATTTTATTTATTCATTTCAGAGAGACACAGAGAGAGCACAAGCAGAGGGAGGGGCAGAGGGAGAGGGAGAAGCAGAGTCCCCGCTGAGCGCTGAGCTCTGAGCTCCACGTGGGGCTCGATTCCAGGACCTGGAGATCATGACCTGAGCCGAGGGCAGACGCTTAACCGACTGAGCCACCCAGGCGCCCCCGTTTTTTAAAAGCAATACATATTCATAGAATATTGGGGAAATCAGAAGCAAAAGGGAAAATAAAAAAAGGCACCCACTTTCCCAACAGCATAGAAGGCCATGGTTAATATTTGGTGCATTTCCCTCTTATCTTTTGGGTCTTCTACATAGGTAAACATTGGGCATTTTGGGGGGGTTTCTTTTCCAACACAGGCTTCCCTGAGTCCCTGGGGTCTGGGAGTCTACACTCTGGTAGCGCTGGATCATCCCCAGGGTGGGGAGTTGGCTTAAGCTTTCCTACAGGAACTATTTCTTGTGCACCCACCGTGTGCTGGCACTGTTCTAGTCGCTGGGAGGACTGGTTGGGGGGGTCGGGGCAGGAGTCAGGCTCCGCTCTCTGTGAGCATACATGCTGTAGTTTGTCGCAGGCATTGTGGTGACTGATGAAGATTTCCTGTCCAAACCGGGACTAGATGTTTGACCCTAGCAGAGAGAGGCAAAAAGCGTTCTTGCTGGTTCTTCCATTCGTCAGCTTTTGGCCCGTATGTAGCACCCCCGCTCCCACCGTTGGAAGCGTTCAGATAAGTCTTGCTAGTAGAGTTCCAAAGTGGCCTAGCAGAGCCCTTCCAGAGAGAGATGCAGTTGCCACTCTTGGAGTAGCAAGGAACATGGCCCACATCTCCGGCTCCGAGCCCAGCTGGGGCCTTCGATTCTTTGCGGCAGTGAACAGCTCGTGGGCTTTCCTTCGCAGTGTCTCCTACGTGAAATAGGCTCTGTTCCACACGGCAGGCAGAACCAAGTCCGCTGACATTGAGTAGAACTCACTCATTCATTCACCTGTTGATTGATTAATGCATGCATTTGGCAAATAGCGGTTGTGTGCCTCCTCTACAGTAGGCATTGTCCAGGCGCTGGAAATGTACTGGTGAGCAGGGAATCACTGAACTAGCTGCTGGGAGAATCAGGGCTTCTAACCCAATCAGGAGACTCAGAGGAACTAGACGGTGGTTATTTATTTCGACAAGTGGATCGACAGTTTCCTCAATTGTATTTGGTTTTAGGAGGGGTTCAGCAAATCATGTGTTCAGTTCTTGATTGAGGTTTGTGGCTTGATCCAGTCCTGATGAAGACTGATCCTTGATCCAGTCGACCTCATTGTTGAAGTAGATGGGTTCCTGTCACGTGGGACTGTTAGAGCATTCTCGGTCTGCGAGAAGGAGCAGCGCCTAAGTACGTGTTGATGGTTGCCTCCTCGCCTTCGTGCTCTGGGCCAGAACTGTGGTGATTTAGGAGAGAAATGTGCGGTGTGTATCACGTAGCATCCACCCTTGAAAACATGTTGTGCCTCAGCGTCATCTGGTATTTGTGGTTGAATCCTATCCCATTTGATGTAACTACATTTAACCTGACCCACATAATGTGCCGGCATTTGCCCAGCGGGCCCACTGTTCCTCTTTTAAACAGAGACGCTTTTTCAAACTCAGCCTGACCCCGAATGCTGCCAGTTTTCCATTAGAGTACTCTATTGCAATAAACGGCCTTAGAGCAGGCCGTTAGATTTTTATTTTTCAAAGAACAATATCGGTGAATAGTAGTCTTTGAGGAGGCAAGAAATGTATTATAGAAACCAGGATCCATTTTAAGGCAAGCCTCACTGTACATTTTTCCTAACCTCTTCCCATGAACCAAAAGAAAGATTAAAATTCCAACAGAAGGAAAATCGCCTTGGAGAAATATCTTGAGACCGATGGATTTATTTCATGTGTGACTTAAAATAGCCTGGGTTTCTAGTACTGCATAAAGCTGTATTTCTAATGAGTTCCTGTTACCCTACTTTTCTTCGGTTTGCTTTTGCATGTCCTTGCCTACAGATAGAAAGAAGCTAATTGTTACCATAACAGTTTTACTATCTTTCTTTGAGGAATCCACAAAATGGTCCATTTTTAAGAGAGGAGATCCAAGAGGTGGGGGGAATGTGGCTTTTCTGGAGTTATTTCTTTGGTCCCAAGGGGCATATTTGGGATTAAGCTGCATTTCTGGGCTGTGAGCCTGGGATGGTCCTATTGGTTTTTGTTCCTTTCAGGTTTCGTAATGCCATTTGGGCCAGTTAAAGGTTAGTTTGTTAAAAAAAAAAAAAAAAAAAAAAGAAGGAAAGGAAAGAAAAAAAAGGAAAAACAACTTACTGAGGTCGTTGGGCAGCTAAGCGAGGTTTCTTGTCATGTCCAACTTGAGCCCATGGTGAGGTGAGCGAGTGTTAGGAAAGCAAGGGTAGAGGGCCCTGGGCCTTTTGGGTGCCCCGGAGCCCAGGAGGAGGCAGTACATTCTCCTAAAGAAGTCACCCTGCTCAGGCCCACTTGTCAAAACTTTGGCAATGAACGATTGGGTCACAGCAGGGGGACCCTTGCACGGCATCAGCTTAAGAGAGATGCCAATTTCACAGATGTTTGGCCGAAGCTCTTCATTAAGAACGTGGCATTTGCCCTCTGAACCCCTTCTCTATGGGATTCTAGGATGCAGATAGAGGGAAAACGTATGTTCCTGTGGGTGTGGGCTGGAGGGAGTTGCAAAGCAAGGGCCTCTGTGTGGCTAACTGTTCTGCTCACCCATTCTAGAGAATGCCAGACAGAGGCAGGAGGGCATCGTGAGCAATTCCATCATGTACTTCACGGAGGAGCCCCCTGAGCTGCCGGCCAACAGCCCGCACCCCCTGAAGCTGCGGCGCGTCCTCAACCTCAGCCCGTTCACGGTCACGGACCACACCCCCATGGAGACGGTGGTGGACATCTTCCGGAAGCTGGGGCTCCGGCAGTGCCTGGTGACACGGAGTGGGTGAGTGCTCTGGCCGGACTCCAAGGAGGACGAGATGAATGAGTCACGGTCTCTGTCCCCGGGGGCCTCGCGGGGCAGCCGGTGCCGCGGGAAAGGGCCCGAGGCTGAGGGTTGAGTCAAAAAGGGGAGGAGCCAAAGGAGAAGGATTTGGGCTGCTTTTCTGCGGCCCCCCGCCCCCGCCCCGGGTGACACTTGGCTCGGGGAGAAGGGACAGCCTGTTGTGCTGTCACGGGCTCTGGGCAAGCCTCCAGGTGTCGGCGCCGCGCGGACGCGGGCAGTGAAGGGCGCAGGCTCGTGAGGAGACGGGGGCGCGCCCCCCCCGGGCGCACCTGATAAGACGGAGCGCGGCCTCTGCCCGGCCAGTGCTTAGGAACCACGTTAATGCTGCGATAACTAGATCGCTGTACCTTGAAGAAGTGCCGAAGTTTTTTGCAGAAGTGGGTGCCCTAAGGGCTGCGGCTTGTGAGCTGTGTCCGGTGGAACCCGGGGCGCCCGTGGGCTGGGGGCGCCAGCGTCCCGAGCCGTCAGAAATCACACGAAACTTTTGACTCCCCCAAAACCTAAGTACTGGTAGCCTGCTGTTGACCAAAGCCTTACCGACACCATGAACGGTGGATTAACACACATCTTGTCTGGAAGTGGACTGTATACTGTATTCGTACAGTAAGGAAGCCAGACGAAATGTGATGAAGAAAACCATAAGGAAGAGACAACACATTTATGGTACTGTCCTGTATGTTTTGAAAAAAACTCTGCACGTAAGTGGACCCATGCAGTTCAAACCGGTGTTGTTCAGGGGTCAACCGTATTCCCGTGCCCCTGGGTTCAGCTGGGGGCAGTTTTCTGCATTCACCTGGAATTTCTCATGGATGACATGACCCATAAGCAAATGTGAAGTTCACATTATGCTCAGATTGTTCCCTAATACAGCAATCTGTTCAGAACAACCACACGTTTTCAGAACAACCGTTCCCGACGAGCTGGGAGATCTGGTGGCCCCCATGGCTTTGTCTCTGCCGAGGCAATATTACTTTTGCTTTGTGTTACCGCTAGCCAGGAAACTAGCATTGCAAAGATGGAGGGTTCATGATGGCCTGAGAGGTGCCGTGCCCCAGGGGCCCTTCTTTGGGCTCAGAGGTACACCCCAAATCCCACGGCTTCAGAGGCTTGGGTAGAGGAGGAGACTGGCTCAGTCAGGGTAGCCTGGGAGCTAGGGTTGTCCGCCCAGCATATTCCTCTATAGGCTGACGGGAGGAAGTGGGCTGGGGCTGTGGAGACCTTGGCACCCTAACCGTGTCGAGGCCTTAACTCTCTAACGTAGTTTACACCGTGGAGCCCATGCTCCAGTTTAACCAAGCAGTTCTCAACCCCGGGTGATTTTGCCCCCCCAAGATTTTGGATGTCCCAGCTGGCGAGAGGGGATGCTCCTGGCCCTTAGTGGGTAGAGACCGGAGATGCTATTCGAGAGCCTGCAGTGCATGGGACGGCCCGCATTGCAACGAAGACTCACTGGCCCAGGTCACTCGCTCTGGATCTCAGTAACTGTGGACTAGGTGCCCGTGAACAGCCAAGTGAGCCCTCCTTACTCACTCGCTTCCTTCCTACTGTCCTGGCTGTGCAAGGGGCCGAATGTGCACACTGACCCAGAGAACCCCTAGCCCCCACGACAGGTGTCCTCAGCTCTGACTGCAGCTAGGGGAGTGTGTTGCACATGGGAGGGACAATCGGTAAGCAACAAATAAATGTTTGGGGCTAGAGATCACTTCTGCTGGTGATTTTTAAAGGTACTCAGTGGGCTGCCGAATTCCCCCAGAGGATTAAAGCTGCAGGTTAAACCCAGAGTGCTGGGGCCACTGCAGTTACTAATCCCTCAGGTCTGGGAGGGGCCTGCGAATCCGTATCTCTAGCAAGCTCCCGGGTGCTGCTGCTGGTCGGGGACTCCACTTTGCCAAACGCTCTAGCCCATTTACATACCTGAATTTCCAGCGCCCGGCATAAATACCACTGTGATCACCCGTGGCGTCTCAAGTGCATAGCAGTTTCTCTTTTCCTTTAAAATAATAATCCAATGTCAGTTATCATTGGAATTTCCAGTTCTGGCAGGAAATTCTGCCCTTAACGCCCGCTCACACCTCACGCAGCCCCATGAGGTTTTCCTGTGAAGATCAGGGTGCCGAAATTGGCTCCGAATGTTCTGCGAGAAAACAAAATCGCACTCTCTCTCGCTGTACATATTTTAAACAAACACAGATGCTGATACGTTACTGCTGGCAAGGGGATCCTTGTTTGCAGGCCTTTCATCTCCTTGGGCTTTCAGCCAGGGCAGGCATGTCTTGAGCCAGCTTGCGTTTTTGATGTATTCCGTCACCATGTGCCTTCCCTGCTCGCGTCGAGAGCCCCAGCTCGTCCTGTGGACCTGCATCGTCTGCAGGATTTCTCGGGGCCTGGGCTCCAAAGGTCATCGTGAAACCACACCAGGAGCCACGGAAGGCTTTGTGCCCCGAAGGCCCCGAGTCTGCGGAGGCTCCGGTGGCTAAGCCTGCGTTTGGGTGCGATCTTCCCCACAGAGATTCTCGACCGGCAGAGCGGGCGGGGGAGGTTGAGTTAGCTTTCCCCAGGCCTGCTAGGTGGGCCCCCAGGACTTAAGACGGGGTGGCCTTCTCAGAAGAGCCCGGCTATTCTAATTGGATATGTTCATGGTCATAGATTGGCCGTTTATCATTCCCTCGATTCACTTGAACTGCCACCCAAAGGGGCTGGAAGTTCAGACACTTGATTTAATAGGACACGTCGCGCCACTAAGGACCTCTGCTGGATTTGATGTTGCGTCCTTCCTGGTGGATGTTCAGCTTTCCTCTTTTGCAATAATTGTTCTAAGCCAAGACCGCTCTGAATTCGTATTTCCCCAGAAGCGTTGTGAGTAGCTTGACTTTCCCGTGTTATAGTTACAGAGCTTTAAGAGGAGGTCGTCCAGACTGCTCCAGGGTGAAGGAAGGCAACAAGACCAGGCTTTACAGATATGGGAGGTGTGTGTGTGAGATAGCAGAGTCCTCATGGCTTTGCAAACACTAACAAGTCCTACTTTTTCAAAGTAACATTCGCTTCATCACCCTCTTTCTGGGTGTCTCTGGCTGAGACCTGGCAAAGGCTCAAAAGGTGTCTAAACAATAATAAAGCCAAGGAGCTCGTCATCTACTAGGGAACACGGACATAATCCGATTTGGGTGGCGTTACCCAGGTGTTCTAGAGGGCAAGGTCCCGAGCCAGGCTTTCAGGGAGAAAATGGCAAAGGACAAAAGAGCGGTGTCAGTTGAGAGGCTGTCTGTTAGTTGGCGATCGCCAGCAGCAGAGGCCCCCCCCCGCCACAGAGGACCCCCCCACCACAGAGGACCGTCCCTTAGCTGCCCCTGCTCCGTGGACCCCGCTGCTCACGCTGCCTCCCATTTCTTCTCCGACCCCGGCGCTCTTAGTGGCGTATTACAGGAACAAGCTGCTCGCCTTTTTACTGTCCCTTTTTGATTTTAAATGAAGTGGAAGAACTGTGTGGCCTGAATTGTGTCCCCCCCAAATTCATATGTTGAAGCCCCACGTTCCACCGTGACTGGGTTTGGAGATGGGGTCTTTAAGGAAGTAATTAGAGTTAAATGAGGTCCTCGGGCTGGGGCCCTGATCTGATCAGACTGGTGTCCTTACAAGGACAGGAAGAGGCAAGAGGCAACAGGGATGTGCGGGCCCAGGGAGAAGGCCACGTGAGGACTGCAAGCCAAGGAGAGCGGCCTCTGGAGAAACCAAACCCGCCAGCACCTTGGTCTGGGCCTTCTAGTCCCTGGGACCGTGACAACGGTCATTTCTGTCGTCAAGCCACCCAGTCCGTGGTGCTTCGTTATGGCCGCCTCCGCTAAGTCAGGACTCCGACTCCGCTTGGCTGGCTTAGCAGAGCAGCATCTTGTTTTATGGGACATCTTCAACCTCATTGCATTTTGATAAATTTTAGAAATGTGTTTAAAGTAACATATGAACACGGTTGAAGCCAAGTAGCTCTAAACGGCTGGAACAGAAAGCAGTTCCTGGTTTTACCCTTTTGCACCAGCACCCCTCTCCTTTCAGGGGACCACTTTTCTCCCACAAGGGTTTGTTTTCTTTAATTAATAGACTGTTTTTTAGAGCAGTTTTGGGTTTATAGAAGAATTGAGCATAAAGTACAAGGTTCCCATTTACCCTCTCTTGTCCCCTCCATTTCCCTTATTAACATCTTGCATTTGTTGTATCTGTTGCCTTTGATGAACTGATACTGATACGCTAACTCAGGTCCCTAGTTAACATTAGGGTTCGCCCTTGGTGTGGTACGTTCCGTGGGTTCTGATAAATGGAGAATGACCTGTGTCCACCATTCTGGTATCACACAGAGTGGTTTCTCTGCCCTAAAAGTCCTCTGTGCTCTACCTGTTCATCCCTCCTCCCCTCCCTCTGACTCAGGTAACCACTGATCACTTTACTGTCTCCATACTTGTGCCTTTTCCAGAATGTCCTCGAGTTGGATGTGGCCTTTTCAGACTGGCTTCTTTCACTTAGTGATACGCACTTAAAGTTCCTCCATGGCTTTTCATGGCTTGACAGCACGTTTCTTTTTAGCGCTGAATAATATTCCCTGGTCTGGAGGGACCACAGTTTGGGTATCCATCCACCTACTGAAGGACATTCAAACCTTGGCAGCTATGAATCAAGTGTACGTCTTCTGCGAGTTAAGGAAATTATTTTAGATCACCACTAAACTGTAATTATACAAGATTAACAATGACTCAATATATCGTTCAATATCCAATGCATATCAAATTTCAATCCAGAATTCTTTCAGGGTTCACACATTGCATTTGGTTGTTTTGCCCCTTTCGTCTTTCATCTGGAACGGTTTCCTGCCCTTTTTTTTGTTTATTTATGACACAGATTTTTTTTTTTTTTTTTTTGGAAGAATCCAGATCAGTAGTCTCACATTCTGAATCTGATTGCTTCCCCGTGGTTTGATTTGGTTGAAGTAGTTTCTGGCGACATGCCAACATAGATGATGTCACAATGTCAGCTTTTCCAGCTTTGTTGGTGATAAGCTCTGCCACTTAGATAAGGGGGTGGTGGCCAGAGCCCTCCATTGTAAAGGGACATTTTTCTCTCTGTACGTAATCTGTGGAGGGATCCTTTGAGACCAGGTGGATTTTTGGTTTTCCAGCAACCGTTTACCCAGTGGTTTTGGAATCCATGGATAATTATTGACTACACTAATTATTATATTGGGGGTTACAGAACGTCGATTTGCTAATTCTGTCTCGCTTTTGTACATTTCCCCCTGTTTTTTGGATCATCACGATAGAGTCGTGACGCTTTCAGCGCTTTGACATCCATGCTTTTCAAGTCCCCTTTTGCAGTTTTCCTCTCTCCTGCAGATGTCCCCATGAGATGGAGGGGAACAGGTAGTACCCGCTGTCTCCCCCAGGGTCATAGATGGGCAAACTAAAACCAGAAAACAGTCACTTTTTCAGGGTTGGTCAAGGTCCAGTGTGGTCAGGGACAAAGAAGTCAGAATTCTAGCCTGACAGTCTCACTACCCAGCATCCGTTTCGCCGGAGGTAACTGAGTCGAACACTGCTCCGAACACTTGCGTTCCCTCTTCACATTCCCTTCTGTTTCACAGGAGATGACTTTGACTACTTTGGCTTTGATTAAATACATCACAGTGTATCACAATTGTGTTTTCTGATGTGGGGGCATATCATTATTTTACACAGACACAGAGCAGAAATCTTTCATATTAATAGCTACACAGTATACCAGCGTTAGCCTGACACTGTTTACTTCTCATTCTTTTTTTCCTTGGGTGTGCTGGGGACAGGACGAGCAGCATCTTGCAGACTCACTTGGCCAGTGGAACTTTCTTTCTCCAGAGAAGCTGTGCACATCCCCTTCTTTCAAACCTTTTACTTTACTGAGGGGACATGATTTGTACCAGCAGGTGGTCATTTAAGTAGTTAATAAAGTCGAGATTGAGGCAAGGGCTGCTGGCAATGGTTGTGCCAGTGCGTTCTGCACACTCCAGGGCACTCTTTACCTTGTCATGTTTGTGAACGGTGTTCCTTGGGGTTGTGCAGTGTGTAGTCTAGGGGGCCTTACACAAGGAACCTTGGGAAGAGGCCTTGTTTTTGCAAGTTGAAAGCAATGGAATTTTGGAAGAGGAGGCCATATCACGTGTATGGCCAGAGACATGAATGTCAACTTTACCCGTCCAGTATGAGAGATTTAAAATAGGATCAGTTGTTATCTTATACTTAAAATACCTTATACTTGCAATTTCTGTGATGTGGTCCAGTTTCGACAATGGCTTTCACAAGCCCTTTCTCAATTGATTATAGTCTTGAAATTTAGGAGAGCGTATTAGTCATCATAGGTTTATTGCTGTTAATTAACAAGCTTGCCATCTTAGCGGCCTAACACAATAGCGATTCATTTCCCCCCCATGTCACATCCAGTGTGGGTTTCAGCAGGCGTGGGCTCTGCACCACATAGTCATCCAAGGACCCAGGTCTTTGAATCTGGTGGCTGCTGGGGTCAGTCCTCTGTGACCTCAGAGTCCTTCACTGGCTCCTCTGGCTCTGGTTGCCTCCTAAGAGACAGTGTCAGGAAATGTGCAGGTGACCCGGGAGGGGCATCTTCCGTCTCTACCTACGTGCCGTTGGCCAGAGCTCACTCAGTTGTCCCCACCCAACTGCCAGGAAAGCTGGGAAATGTCTCGCTGTGCATCCAAGTGGAAAAGGCCCTGGGGTTAGGGCAGGCATGAGTCAATGTTGCAGAGAGAGAGCTGACCCCTGTTCTCTATTTTGTTTCTTCTCCAGGAGACTTCTTGGCATCATCACGAAAAAGGATGTTTTGAGACATATGGCCCAGATGGCAAACCAGGACCCTGAATCCATCATGTTTAATTAGAAGCAAGGTGGCATTTATTTTGAGAAAAACACAACTGTCATTTTAAAAGAAATAAACAAATGATATGTTATTATCCTAATGAACGATTGTACGCTGGGGGCAGTGGAAACAAAAGCTTTGTTTGAAAAGAAGAAGGATGAAACCTTTTTTAAAAAAAGACATCAATGAGTAGGCATTTTATAGCTTTAACCCCTTGTGAGTTTCCAGCTGTGTTTCTTAATGAGTTTATTAACTGCCATGGGGGCATGGGGGTGGGTGTAAACGATGTGGTTTGTCCAGGGACACGGAACACAAATGCTGAGTCCAGAAACGTTTGCCCCTTGTGTTTAAGGCTGATGTTTGTGAAGCTTTGAGTCCAAAAGGCAAAGGAGTATTGGCCTGTCAGCATCTTTTATTTATTGGTTCCTGAAGTTTTGCTGCTATTTTACTGAATCGGACTAAAGATATTCGCACTTACTCTGTTGGAAAGGACAAGAGAAATTAAATTGGAACATAGTGAAAGCTGAACGTTTTTTGCCAGTTGGTTCACTCATGACCATCCCATTTCTTGCTCCTGTTCTCAGCCTAGCGTTTTGCTTCTCCATCAGTTTCCGAACCAACATCCAGGGTCTCCTGCAGTGACAGAGTATGAAGAAATCATTTCTCTATGCAAGACCAGCATCTTGGGACTGCATAATGAACTATTGGCGTGTTTCGTGCTGCCCATATTTCCTCCCACACAGAGGGATTTGTGCTGATTTGGAGGGTATACACACCTGCTCGTTGTGTTGCAGACGTGTTGCATGTGCTTCACCTGTTTATTGCTGTTGCCCGTGCATTCCTAAATATTGAGCAGCCCAGCACTTTCCATGGGCCATATCCTATATGCTGCCAGCTTGTCGTAAGTGTGCTTTAATTTCCAAATAGCGTACGTGAGGGTCAAAACAGGCCACCCAGTGTTACTACTTATTTTTCCTTTCAGATCTTATTAAATATGGCTGCAGAGAGGGTGAGGCATACGAAGTCTCAGTGGGAACTCCTCCAAATGGATTGTAAGAGAAATACTAAATTGATTCTAAATCTGTTCCATTATCTTCTCCGTAGGATGCAAAACGTCCAGCTTTAATGTCTAAGCGTGCACTTTCATGCTTGTACGCAGAGCACAGAAGGGCAGAGTTAAATCGTAGACAGCAAGTTTGAGCACTGGGCATCTTTGTATTGAACTTATGGTGCATTTATCTCTTTAGTCAGGACTTTGGTCTTTTCTGGGAGAAGGCACGTAGCTGTGGTTTAGGTCCATGGTGTGATCTGTGTGAGTATGATTGCTCCCACTTTCCCCCTCACATCAGTCTTGGCTCTTCCCAGCTCACTGGGAGGTCCTCACCCTTTGCAGCCTTGTTACTGGATATTGACATAGCAGGTGTGCGTTTGGCGGCAAATAATAGAAAAATCCAACAGACAGTGGAGAGTTGAATGAGAAACCCGGGGGTCGGGCACTCTTGGCTCTCTCTGTATTATCATCAAGGATTCATGCCCTTTGGTATTGTTTTCTGCCATCCTTTGTCCTCTGGCTCATTGCCTCTGAGCCACAAGGTGGTTACTGAGCTGCCAGGTAGGATGTCTGCTTCTTAGACAGGAAGAGGGAGGAAGAGACCCGTACCAAGGTGCAGTGCCCGTATCAGGAAAGCAAAACTTTCCCGGAGATGCTCAGCTTACATCTATTGGCTAGAATTCTGTCACATGACTCCCCCTAGCTGCATGTGAATGTGGGAAGGAAGGTTTTTAGCTAGACATATTATTCTCTGAACGAAATTTAGATTCTCTTAATAAGGAAGGGGGGTTGGTCCTGGGGAGGGAATGCTGTCCACTGGATTGGGTGCCATCATCATGTGCCTGTCGTCGTCCTTCCTGTCCTCCTTACCCTCTTTCTTGCTAAACCCTCTAGACACTCTCTTCTCACCTCATAGTTTCCCACCCCTTCTGTCAGATTTGACCTAGAACTGCCAGTCAGAAGCCATCATTTCTTAGCCCTAATAAAAACCTAGAAACTTCTAGTTGGTATAAGAAAATGTACTGACATGTTCTCTGGGTTAAAAAAAGTTAAGTCAGCTCATGCTGGCAAACTCTGGAAGATTTGTTTCTGTGATTGGTTGGCCTCCTCCAAACTAATATCGAATAGCCACTTCATCGTGGAAATACCAGTCAGTAGTAGAGAATTCAATCTTCATGTCGCGTTCGCGGCATGTAAGTATCGAGTAACAGATCCTAATATTAGTGTTGTTACTGGGGTTTCCATGGAACACATGCAAGTGAAGCTGGATTCTTCTGGACTTTAAATCCTAAAAGGTCTTAAAGATTGCTTCATGTAGTTCCCTCTTACTTCCACGTGGCCTCCCAAAAGACTATTAGTCATAGCCTGGATTTATATAATCCAGGACACCCTTTTAGCTGAAATAAGGAGCTTCGGAAGGGAACACGAAACAAGTGAACAGATAGCCAAAGGTCAGTGAAACCACAGAATTTCCTCCTCCTCCAGCCAAGGCCATGGATGGATGAAGGGACAGTTTCCTCCGGGCCAAGGTCGCCGAGGGGCGTTGTGTTGTGTCCTTCTCCCCAGTGCCTAGTGTAGAGAAGTCCACAGGTTCATGGGAAAGCACTGGGAGTGCTACTTGACTCAGATAACCTTGTTTTCCTTCATAAGTCGAACCTCTCATTTGTTGTGGGCTTCGGGCTCGGCGACAGAAGGCCGGGGTCAGACAGGTAGGTGAAGGTCAAGGATGGGGGAGTTGATTGCCGGCCTGGGGTCCCAGACAAAACTCGATGGGGGACTGGCTCCCAAGCTCTTTGTCACTCTTTCTTGTAAAAGTTCGCGGGTAGGGATTCTGAAGGTATTTGCTGTATCCAGATGTAGAACTTCGTCCACTTTACCTGGTGATTTGATGAGCAAGAGGAGTAGAACTGAGATGTGGAAGTAAAATAAACATTTCTCAGAATAATGTGTTTTTATCTTTTTCCAGAACCAAAGCCTTTAGACTTTTGTAGAACTTTCTGGATTCTTTCTGAGTCAGTGTTTTATGTAAATAAACATAAATGAAGAATGGAAAAGGAGTTCTCTGACAAGGCACATCAACCTATTTCTTGTTCTCCCTCTCTGCTACGAAGGAAATGCATTGAGGAAGGGACAGCCACCGAATAAAGAGTATCCCGAAAGGGACATTCAAATTTCTTGCGTTTTTCAGCGCACCCCCTGGGACTGCAGATGTGCACATGGCATTAATGGAAAGGTAAATGTGTTAGGAGCAAATCGCTATTCCGTGTTTGCTGTTACTCACCACCAGGCAATCTCCAAGGCCTCTATTTAGTACTTCCCAAAAACCTTACAAAGGAGAAGACATCTCAGTAGATCTATTTTTGGCCCTAAGAAGTCCCAGAAACTGAAAAATTTGTTTCGCTTAGGTGAGAACTGGTTACTTTACATTATCAACATGTGCAGATCTGCTCTGTGCTCATTATCAGATGCCGAGCTGGAAGCGATGACAGACGCAAGGAGGAGCACTACCGAGTTACATAACTGTAATAGTACGCCTTCATTCTCATTTCGCGTGGGCAGGGTTTTATCGCCCTCCACTCCGAGCCTTTGAAATGATTTACATGGGGGGGTGGGGAGGAGCATGTGTATCTAACTTGGGAACATTAACCAGACTCCATTTTCACCGGTGCAGTAATAACTATTTATTTGCCGTCCTAGGTGTGCTGGGAATGAGCCTACATGCGACTTTTATGAGATCTACTCGCATTTGGTGTTGGAACAACCACACAGCAATGTGGTTTTTTTTTTTTTTTAATTGTAACCTTCTGTGTAAACGTTGGCACCTTATTAAAAATTAAGTGTTTGAACTTTACTTTTAAAATAAAACAAGCACAGTCCTCAAGAAGCATGTTGTAAGTGGAAGAGATACTGATTTCGCAGCATGTTTCTGCCCAGCAGACCCTCTGGAAACCTGATTCCGGTGACGGCTCAAGTATCTGGGGAAGTTAAAGACTGATTCTTAAGATTTTCACGCAAGATGGTGACGTCAGTTTGGTCAGCTTTAAAATCCCTTGATCTTAGCCTGGTGGGTGATGGCCAAATAACAGTTCAGACTGGGGCTATAAAACGTCCAAGAATGGGGCAGGACCACTGTCTGCGGGCCATCTGTGTTTCTGCCCTGTGCACAGAGGCTGGGCAGGACAGCTTGGGCCATGGTCTAACATTAATTCTGTCCCCCCTTCAAACTTCTTATCTATGACTTCGGGAATCACAAGAGCTTAAATTATGTCCTTCCCTACCAGTTGCTTTTTTTAATTTTCAACTTTACAAAAATATGAAGGAAAAAACACAGAGAATGCCCACATCTCTTTGATGATCTAGAAGAAGCAGTGAGAGGAATCCCTTCTAATTGGGGGAGGGAGCCAGCCTGGGGACAGCTTAGGGAAGATCGTCCTCAGCACAGGGACCAGCAAATGCAAATGTCCTGAGGTGGAAACAGGCCTAACTTCCTGGGGTCCCACCAGGGGTGAGTGGCTGCGGGATGGATGGTGCTTGCGGAGAGATGAGTGTGGGGTATTTGAAGTTGGTTTTGTTTTTCCTTCGGTGGGAGGCTAATACAAGCAGATGCTTCCAAGTGCCACAGGGCCAGGTACAGACAAGGAACTTAGAGGATGGACGTGCTTTGACTTGCATTGTACATGAACCGTTCTGGCTGTCCTATAGCGGGACTGGAAGTCGGGAATCTGGCTAGGGGGCTATTTCAAATACGCGAGTTATGATGGAGGCTTGTCCCAGAGAAGCTCTCTGAGCATATTTCCGGGTAGAGCCAACAGATTTGCCAGTGGAGTGGATATACAATGGTACGACTACGTTGCTGTTCACTGACGTGGGCGAGACTAGGTGAAGTGCTACATTGGAGAGCTCTGTTGGACACCGAAGTCCAGAGTTCTGGGGAATCGTTGAGGTTGGAGACCTAGGTCAAGCCATTGGCACATATCAGTGGTATTAAAGCCCTGCCTGGAAACTTCCATGGCCTAATGATACCCTGAGAGCAAACAACCAACATTCTGACAGAATTTCAATAGTGAGTTTTCAGGGAGTCATGCTTAGTGATAGGACTGCACTTGAATTCCAGCTCCACTGCCTTTTGGCTGTGTGACATTGTCAAAGGGACTGAACCTCTCTGAGCCTAGATTATCCCATTTCTGTCGAGTGAGCTGTCGCTCCTGACCAGCCGCGTGGCTGTGAGAATTCAACAAGAGACACGTACATAAGGCACTTGGCAGGGACCATTTCACGTTATGAAGCCCTCCGGGTAGCTTTAGTTGGAAATTAACTTTATGTTGTTTTCAGTTGAATTGTAAGACCTCTAAAATGAGTAACACAGATCGGGCTAACCAGTTGCCTTCTTTCCAGCTCTATCTGCAGTCATTTCCAAAAACTCGAAACAAAAACAAAAACTCAGATCTCTTAAGGAATATAAAGGAAAAAAAAGCCTCTCTGACTCCAAAGTAA